TCGCCGAGTCATCACCGATGCAGGCGTCTCCACTTTCGAAGCCTCCCTGCAACGTACCGACCTGCTTCCCCCCCTCCCCCCCGGTGGCAGAGAAAACTAGCAGCGGTAGCGCGGAAGAGTCAAGCTGGGAAACAGGATGCGAGGTGGAGCTGTTAATTTGATGGAGAGCTTTAAGGCCGCTTCCTCGGGGGTGCTGCGGTCACGTCCACCACGTGCGCGTTCGCACGACGCCGACCGATCCCGGGGAGGAGGCGCAGTAGACCTTGGCCACTGCTTCAGTGGGTGCATGCACGTGAAGCGAGATTGCGTAGCGGTGGCGTGAGAGCAGAGGGAAAGTACGACTTTGTTATAAAAGAGCACGCACGCTCTACAGTCTATAGCCTGGCTGCTAAGTGATAATTGTCTGTAATGTCGTGCAGCGTATTAGTTACCACTGGACACTGTAATCAGTGACTGGATGACAATTTATCTGGGAGTCTTTTTTTTGTCTCTTTCCCATGTTTGTTCCAATTGTGCTGTTGGGTGTCATGTCCAATCGGAGCTCTTGCAGAGCAATAAATCACCCGGTGCTTCGACAGTGACCCACAGTAACAGATTTTATAGAAACTATACTTCTGAAATCCCTTCGTGACCATTTTAATTCACAAACACTCAAATGCACTTTCCCTCAAGGCCTGCTGCAGCGGACAAATGTTTATCGCATGGCAGCAAAACCGATATTTAATTTACTTCTCAAAGTGGGAATCATCAATATGAAGTGGAAAAGCTAATTTAATTAAGGAACCATTGGTGACAGGGATGAGACCACCAACACACTTCACTTGATAAACCAATCTTGATTTCAAGTTTTCGTGATTGCAGGAATCCATACTCTTTGGTTCTTTCGGTAAAGTGACGTAGGTAGAAAATTAATAGATCGCGACGTTTCGATCGCAACACAAGCAATCGTCATCAGGTGAGACAACACAGCAGGAGAACTGCTGAGGCGATCGAAATTTCGTGATCTATTAATTTTATATCTACGTGACTTTACCGAAAAAAACAAAGAGTGTTGACAAACCAACATAATCATTAGGTGGCTGAAACCTTGGATTCGAACCCAGAATCTCAGCGGTGCTAGGTGACAGCTGCGACCTCTGGGCCAATTAAAAACGGGGAAACTTTGTTTTGTGGGGGTACGTTTTTCAAGGTCTTCCAAAGCCAACCGTCATGAAAAAAATAACCGTAGTGGAATCACCTGCCTGGACTCAAGATTTTGACTCCGCTGCTACTGCTATTCTTCCTGCACCAATCCTGAATCTACACAGCATTAGAATCGACACCACTTAGAAGTCCAACAACTGCAGTGAATCGTGGTTAAAAAAAAGATGTATTCGATCAAAATGAAATTCTCTTCACCCCACCCACGCTGACCAGCGTGGTGAAGCATGATCAAACAACATGGCCGACGCGACTTGGGAAAGCCTTCATCCAGTAGCGGACCGACAAAAGGCCGTGAATTATTATTGTTATTCCAATTGTAAAATAAAAAACGTATATTTTCAAAATTTCAAATGACTTGCAGTTGACCCATAATGCATTATGCAACAGGTATGACTTGTTCAAGTGGAATAAAATTCACTTTATTTTCATCCTCTCTCATATGAAACACGTGTTTGAGTTTCCACAGCAGTCTTAAACCGCCACGAAATGCCATCGTGTTTTTTACGAAACCAGCCGTCATAATTGAAAAACAAAAATGCACACACAATAGAGCCCTTTTAAAGCTACATACTACAGACATCCTGTCCCGTTATTAACGGCGTCTGTATCTCAACACGCTTTGAAATTGGTCGTCAGGCGAACATTAGGCTTGCCCCGATGATTGCTCAACTCTTTTTTTTGTACTTTTCTTTCGACGGCCCCTGTCACTGTGGCTCGAGGAAACAGTTACCGCCTTGACCCCCCCCCGCCTTACCCCACCCACGCCCTCCCCCACACCGCCCCAACGACAGCCAATCTCGTGGCCAAAATACACAAACACGTTACCCTCAGGGGTGTCCGCACGATGGAGCAGGAACCGCACTCATGGATGTTTCAGAGTCACAATTGCTGAAACAATTTTTTGTTTGTTTCTAAACAATAAAATAAAAATCCTCAGTTACAGTAAAGGGGGGCAAAGTAAAGGTGCAGTTATTTTCTCTTTTGCCACCCACTGGCAGGGGCTCTAAAAGGCCAAAAAGAGTCCCTCAAGAGTGTATTTAGCCTACTCTTCTATGCGGGCTAGATATTTCGGAACAGGTGGGAAATACCCAAACTTTACCCCACCGCACCTGAAATGCCCATCGACTCACTGTGCAGTCCCCATTTATGTGGGTGAGGGCACAGAGGCAGAAGGGATTAAGGAACTCGCCCATCCAATCCCATAAACATTCTTTGTCTGCAAACATCTTAATATATAGAGGTTCACAGAGCTTGAGCAATTGTTGGCGCTTGCTTACCACCTGGCCGCTGCCATTCCCACTCGCCTGTGGTTCCTCATCGCGCCTCCGAGTCGTTCTCTCTCTTCAAGAGTGAACGGCTACTGTGCGGTAGCGTGCTACAAGTTGACATTAGTATTAATTAATGGTTGCATAGATTAGAGTCACTACCTGCCATTCGATGGAACGACACGGAACCCCATTTGGGGTTGGTTGGTGTTGTCGCGCAAGTGCTAGATTTGTTCTCTGGTGCCATCTCTTGGTCGAATGGATTACTTTCATACCTCGGTCTGCTTTCCGTCACGTTTATTTGCTGGGATGTTCTTCTTCTTATTGTTATTAAACCGTGGGACATCGTTTTAATAACAGCCCAGCTGTTAATAACAGTCCTAGTTAAATGGTGTGAATGTAGGGGTGGCCTCAACGGCTTTGGTGGCTTCAACAACGGCGTTGATGGCGCTGGTGACCTCAACAACCACATTGGTGGCCTCAACGGCGTTGGTGGCCTCAACTGCGTTGGTGGCCTCAACTGCGTTGGTGGCCTCAACGGCGTTGGTTGCCTCAACGGCGATGGTGGCCTCAATGGCGTTGGCCGGAGCTGGCAACTTGATCTTCACGAATTGGCAACCTCGGTCAACATTTCCCAACTGTGGAACTGCCCTAGCGTGGTTAAGCAGAGGCATCAGGAGGAGGGTGCTTCAATGGGTCATGTCGTTGCCTGATACCAAAGCCACCAAATGTTATCCGTATGGGCCAAACCATCATGTGGTCCAAAGTAAACTCAATTTAATACAACAACAAAAACTCACATATGTCACGAAATAATTCCTTTAATGTTATTTAGGATGGAAAGAGGCCCACCTATTGATTTTTTTCAAAAGATCGAGGATGACACTGAATCAAATGCGATGCCGTTTAAATTAAATCAGTGCCACAGATTTTTTTTTGCATCATTACTCTTTTCAAGTGGCTTGTCAAAATTTCGATTCAATTTACGATTCCTTCTTTGCAAAAAGGAAAACAAATGTTGACGACACGCTTAACGCAACGACCGCGTGCAGATCTCGCCGATTGCATTGTTAACGCTTAAAGTAACGAGAGACACATCTAACAACGGTCCCCGTGATCAGCCGCAATCTCCCTCCAGTGCCAATAACCCCCCCCACTCATGGACTCAACGGCATAAAAGACAGAGGCAGAATTTTAAATATAATGAGGCCGAAAAAAAGGTACTATCTGGGTTGAAGCCATAACCACGCTTAATAAAAAGCACGCAGAGCAAAAAGAAAATCCCTTTAAGATGCGCCGCAGATGATGTCTGGCGTGTGGAATGTGCGCCGACGTTCGAGGCTCGTGGTGGTGCGCACGCACGCGCGCGCGCACACGCACAAGCGCGCGCCCGTTAGCGCCACAGCGAGGAAGTTCATGTGCGGGGACTTCAATACGACCCAGATTTTTTGTTTGTTTTTAAACTCACGAGTGCACTGCGCCAGCAGCAGTGGTATGCGAGCGCAATCAAAAGAAATTCACCACTCCGAAATTACTGATTGCCCTACGTCCCTCTAATCTTGTCAGACCTTGGAAGCTAAGTAGGCAAGTTCTGTACAACATCTGCACCATCGCAGGGCGTCCATGAACTAGAGACTAGCACCTCATTTGGCCCTTCCTGCTGAAAGAAATCAAATCTATCTAGTGTCTGGTAAGTACTTGCGCGAAAGGCAGCCAGGGCTTTGCCATGTGTTGTAGGCACTGGGCTACGAGAGGGCCAAGAGATTATTTCTTCCGCTTGATGACGATTGCTTATGTTGCGATCGAAACGTCGTGATCTGTTACTTTTTCTACCAACGTGACTTTACCGAAAGAACCAAAGAGTGGAGATGATTATTATCAAAAAGTATGCACGTTTACCCAGGGAAAAGCCTCACCGAGTCTGGTGACTCGTTTTCAGGAGGGTCTTGACAAGATTTCGAAGTCGGGGTGGATGACTGCTCTGTAAAATCAAATCGAGTCATTTAATGGCATTATTATTATTAAGCGTGAATCCTTGTATCCAGGCACAGATTTGGCGAAACATCCCATTGCAGGACCCTTCTGAAATGTCTTCCGATTTAGTGAGGCTTTGTACGAGTAATTAATTGCCTTTTTATATGTGTGTATATATTGTGTGTGTATATTGTTACTGAATTTATTGTATATACACAGTAAATTCAGTAACTACTCATGAAAAACTATTTTTACATTAAAAAAACTAATTCGTCAAGTTTCTTAAAATATCTTAGATTAAAGTGCGATCCAAAACCCTTCAGTCAAGTCAGTCTCTCTGGCCCCGTCTCTGCTTTGCAGGAAGGCCATTTCACAAACCATCAGCCTATTCGTCAGCATTAAATGTGTGGCGATTGTTCAAATATGTTTAGAGGGCTTCGATTGCCGAACGCTCGTCATGTGGAATTGTGGGTGGGACTGCCACCCACAGATACCCCCCCCGCCTCGTCTGCTTTGCCTGATCCTTGTATGTGATCCACCCCCCCCCCCCCCCTGCAGGGAGACGCTGGCGAACAAGGCCTTTCGGGACCCTTAGGTCTCCCCGGCCCGGCTGTGAGTGATCTTTCCCTGCACCTTCGCTTTTGACGTTAAAAACACTAACATATTACTTCTTGCATTTATCGCTGGTAAAAAAAAAACTAGAAAAAACCCCAGAGATTGTTACCACTGCAAGCGGGTCACGTGACTGAATTGCATCTGCCAAAATTTGAGGTTTTGCGTTTTTTTTGTCAAACCGTTTTGCATGGATTGACTTGAAACTTAACTTTTGATGCTGTGCAGAAACGGGTGAAGTTCGCAAGATCAAACTTTTTTTTTTACTCTGTAACTGTTTTTTTTTCAATTCCCAGCCCCCTTTCCCCCCCCCCCCACCCACCTCTCATTTTAGTTGTTTCCATTTTCTCTGATGTTTGTGTAGGGCCCCAAAGGTGATTCTGGCCTGCAAGGGCTACCGGGGCCCCCTGGCCTCCCTGGGGCCAAAGGAGAAAAGGTAGGGAACGTCAATAAATGTGTAGAGTAGGAGTTAGTTACGTCATGTCACGCTCGCCCTCTGGCACGATGACGTCACGGATGGTGACTTCATGCACGGGGAGCCGGGACGGTGACGTGAGATCCCCCTGGGGGATTTAAGCTGGAACCCGTCACGTGTTCATGGTTCGTGGGGAGAGTCCGGGAACGTGAAGGGTGAAAGTCGGGACCCCGGGGTAGGGGGAAATTGGCACCAGGCTAGGGTAGCCTGTGGGTGTGCTAGGGACCTCCCCAGTACCCTTCCCCTGGGGTGTGGAGTGTAGGCAGTGAGTGTGCAGTACACGGAGTCGTGTGCGGGAGAGGTATTTAATAAACCAACTGGCGTAAGCCCTTAATGAACGTGGCGCAAGCCTCTACACGAAGATCTGCCTCCGAGTCCTCATTTACGCCTCAACAAATGGATGAGAATCCATGCAGCAGGATCAGTCCTGCAGGGAATACAGCCAGAGTTGTGAACAGCAGACAGGTAGAGAGAGGAATTGACGTTAGAAACTGACTTTTTTTACATTTGTGTAATGAGCTGCGCATTATTGTGGGTGATACTAAACTGATAAAGGTACACGTGAAAATCTTTAAAAGACGAGTAAAATAAATACTTGAATCAAAGTTAAAGTCCTGAAGAACTCTAACTTCACGTGGGGTTTTGCATAAAGATTACTGCAGCGTTTAAAGTTGACGAGGGTTTGATGAGGAGTAAGGATTGAGTCTCAATGGTGGAAAGCAATGTGGTCCGTGCAACCACAAAAGAAGCTCGTGAATGTATTTGAACGAGGTCTTAGGGGGCTCAAGAGGGCTTCTCTGTTGTTCTGTCCTAAAGCCACCAGTCAGTAAAGAAGGGGAAATTAATTCCTCAGCGTGTGAAGGCAAGAGGCTGATGGCTCACAATGACAATTTTTCCCGGTCATCCGATGTGGAATAATATTGTGATGGCCACGATTATTGCCATGCAGTTCTTACAGGATTTAAACGACAGAGTTGTCTTAAGTCAAGCATCACGTTATTTTAATCATCACAGAGCCACGGGTAAATCGATCAGGGAAATGACTGTAGGCGCTACAGCAAACAATGCGAGATTGAGAGCAGCAACATACGAGGTCGACGATTGTAAATGTATAAATGGTGGCCCTTATGGAGAGCAGACCTGTCCAACCCGTACGGTTTACCCGTATTCTTGAATAAAGAAATTGAGTTTTCAGGTCCATATGGCGTACAGGCGTTTCAATACGGGAAAACATCTTTTTGCCTATTTGTGTTTCTCCCTTGTGTTGTTGGTACTTTGTAGGATGAACTTTGAGATTTATAAGGGCACGGGGTGACCAATAAGGTCCGAATTGGTCTGTAATAAGGTAGGGCACTGATAAGGAGTTGACAGGTATGGGAGAGGGATGTAATGGCAACTCATGATAGAGATAGAATATTAAATTCAGTTAAGGAACGTTATGCAAATCTCTCTAACGAAAAATTGATAGAGCCCAGGAATGAGACCTTCTCTCAGATGACGGTGGTGACGATGAGGGCCACTTAAGCAGGTGCCCCCATCCTGCATGGCAAAATGTGGTGCTGGAATCCAGCATGAGGAATAAGCACTCCGTCTCTGTCTCTGCACCAGGGATCGACTGGCGAGGCTGGAGCCAAAGGAGCCCAGGTGAGAGGATGCGTGCATCGCTTTCACCGAGTTTTAGGGACGAGTTTCAATTCAAAAAAGAAAATAATTGGATTTCAGATTTGTAGGACAAATTTGATATTTTATTTCGTATTTGCGTGTTTGCATGTATCGCTTTTGAAATGAGTTGCATTGTTTTTTGCATTATTTACGCACTATATTTAATATTTGTAGTCTTTAAAGTATTCAAAATATATATTTATTACATAAAATGACATCGGTAAAGCAATACTTTTAGTGTAAACACTTCATATTGTAATTATTAGGAAAACATGATGTCACGTATCATTAAAATGATGTCACGTGATGGGACTTTTTACAAAGCACGAAAGCGACCATACGTCACAGCAATAACTGTGACGTCACACTTTCAGATCTCGGCCCAATTTTAGTTTTTTTCTGATTAATCTGAAAATCTGAAACTCTTCGCAACTGGGTTTACATTAAGAAGTAAGAAAAATACAGCTAATGAACTTACCTTGAACAAATCGGCCGTGTTTTTACTCTCATAAAATAGGTAACTTCTGGTGTTTACAAAGAAATATCAGTTTTATAACGCAAAAAATAATGCCATTGTAGAGTGAATGGGAGAGTGCGGCCCCTACTGTGTAGAGTAGACAAAAGGCACTTGAAGGATTTTGTGGGGCAAAGGCCCATGAAAAATCTGACGTATGGGTCACACTGCTGCTGTACGAGATTTCTGATTGGATCCTTCATCTCTCGTGACAATGCCAAAAGCACAATTGGAATTTGGGAGTGGGGGGGGGTAAAATATTACATGGGTATGTTGCGTTATTGTTAAATTAGACAGCCATTGTAAAATGTCATACTTTAAAGATTTAACAATGAATGGGAAAGCATGAAAATGACTGCTCTGCTATCTATTTTCTCAGGGCAACCCAGGATTGGAGGGCATTCAGGGAGAGAAAGGAGGACAGGTAGGTGATGCCACCTTCTTCGACACATTGTTTGCTAATGTAAACGAGTTAGTCCCACCTAGCATGGCACAAGCGCTGTGGTCGACGTCACTTAGTGGCGAGTGACGTCCGTTGTTGTTGGTGTTTTGTGAAGTGCCTGTGTGTCATACCATCTTATACCAGGCACATTTTCTCCACTGCCTCTACATAATTCAACGTATACACTCACGATACATGCAATGACTGTGTTTTCCCGATCAATAATAATGTGTCATTTATGCAGGTTGTATGCAAATGTTCTATGTCGGCTAATGTAGCGAAGGGGCCTGTACAAACTGGATGGAAAATACAAACGAGATGCAAAAGAAGACAAACGGAATTGATGCTCGAATTGCATCATGACCACAACATTTTTGGGAGAAAATTCATTCGCTCACGTCTTGTGCGTTCTGTCTCTTTCTAGGGAGGTCCTGGTGACGTTGGGCCCAAGGGTGATGTAAGTAGCAAATCCATCTTGCACGGACACACACGCACACATTGCTCCATTACTATAGCACATTAAAACCAGCAGTGCGTGCTTTCTGGAATTGTTCCACTCAGCCTCTTTTAAAAATGCCCTGCATTAACTACAAATTGTCCAGGAGAGGGCATTTGAGTAATGAATTCTTGAAACTATGTGTGCAGGACATTGAAGATGATCCCCACATGTGCACCAGAGTACCCTCTGAAGCACATGTGGGTTTACTCCCACGTGAACGCTCATTAAATGAGACTTGCCAAACATCTCAATGTAGCAAGATCAACCTGATTAAAAAGTCACGAGAGCTAAATAAGACTTTCCTGGTTAAAAGGGCATTACTATTATCACTATGGCCATAATTAAAATACATAATTGTGCAAAACCCTCATGTTATCAAGACATTAGCTACATATCCTCACGTGGGATAAAAAATAAATCCAAAGTGGTTTCCCCATTGACTAGAGAGTGGGGCAACCCTCATCTCTGGTTTATGGTCCTGGGCCAGAGGTGGAAATTCCACATTTCTATGGCGAGTAAATGCAATACCCTCAAGAAAAAACAGCTGTGAGACACAGCGCATCTTTCCTGGATAGTGCGTGGATAAACCCTTTTGTATCCCCAAGGAAAGCCTTACTAAGTCTCATTGCTTTTATTCAGGTGGGCACTACATTGGGATGTTTGCCCAGTGATGTTTTTTTTTTAAGATTGTGGGAAGACACCAGATGACCCAGAGAAACCCCACACAAATGAGAGGAAAATTCTTCAATTCCACGCACACAGGTTCATGAACCCATTGTCTGCATTCGTGTCTTGGGCATCACGGAGCCCAGTGAATTGGGATATTTACGGAAATATATGAAGTCATCTTTTACACTGTGATATAACTCAGAGGAATAAAAAAAACGACATAATTCGTCGTGAATTTACATTGCAATGGGAAAACACGTAAATAACGTCACTCAAAATAAAAAATAACTGCGTTTGCCACAAGTGATGAAGACTTGAAAACCAATTTCCTTAGAACTGATTTTTGTGTTCAGTTTGTTGTCCTTCCCCTGCACCTCCAATCCGCATGGTTGGCTACGCACGGTGCGAAAGAAATTCAACATACATACAAGATACGTACAAGACTTGAATTTAAATCTTGGAGGGGGCACCGACTCCTCTGTCCTCCCCTTATAATCCTTGCCCCCTCTGCTGCTGCTGCTGCTGCCGCCCTTGTCTCACCCCACAGATTGGAATCCCCGGGGAGCAAGGCCCACGTGGACCCAATGGCCTTCGGGGTGTCCCAGGCCTGGACGGGCCGCCGGGCCCACCCGGTCCCCGCGGCCTGCAGGGAGACCGTGGAGTGACGGGCCTGCCGGGACGGCAAGGAGATCCTGTGAGTGCTTCGGGGGCCCCTTGCCCTCATGGGCCCCTTGCCCTCATCTTCAGCCTCGTTGTTATCTGTGTTCACCAATGTTCTCGGTTGAGTTTAGTTTTACTGATTTCATCCACAGTGGATCATAGTCTGGCGGCAAACAACAATGTACAAAATTTAAAAAATATATCACGTGTGTAAAAAAGTGAACAGAACTCAAGCTTATTCTAAATGATATGTATTTTTTTGTTAGATTTAGTTAGTTCAAACATCCTCCATTATGTCATAGGAGAGCTTGTTCCAATCATTGGCTGTACAATACGTTCAATAGTATATTCCTGCCTCACAATGTATATATTTTAAAGATTGAATAGTCGTGGTTGGTCCATTATACTTACGTGGGACGGATGTTGAATGCACCTATCAAGTTCAGTCCAAGCCTTCTCTTTGGTATCGAGTCTATGCGCATATTTTCGTTTGGCTGTTGGTTGTAACAATTTGTATCACAAAAGTGATGCTATGATGATCATGATGAGAGTAATGATATGGTGAGTCTGATGATGACAATTATTATATTATTTCATGTTATGATGGAAAAATGACCCATATATACAATATAATAATTAATTAAATGCTTGGGCTACAGGGCAGAGTACAGCTTGTATCCCAACGTCCTAAATCGAGGCCCAGCGACACAAGCATCGATGAGTTTGTACCGCACCGATTGATGACCAGAAGCCTACGATGGCTTGTATCACTGGCTGTGTTAAGGGCAACTTCGTAAAACTGATGACGCTGAACATTTTGTTTCGACTGTGGCAGGGTAAAGAACCAGGAGACCAGCACATTAGGGACGTCTGCATGAGGATACTCCAGGGTGAGACAATCAAGCCTAATAATTTCTGTATTTTTTATATTTATTTTCTTCTCAGCCTTGTTATAAGTGTGCCATCACCATCATGTCATGGGATGAAGTATCATTTAGAACCCTCGCAAAACGGAGCAATCCTGTGAAACAGCACCTTCGTGATAGCTTGTGTTATAAGAATGGCGCCAACTACCAAATTGTTCCAAATTATTAATTCGTTGTCTTTCATATTGTTGGTATTTATCCTGAATATTCTCGAGTTGGCTTGTGTAAATTTTAATTCCTTCGTTCCTTTAATTTTTGTAGAGCAACTGGCACAGCTGGCCGCCAGCATCCGGAGACCGGAGGCGGGCGGCATGGGCCCTCCCGGCCGCCCGGGGCCTCCCGGTCCTTCCGGCTCTCCGGGCTCAAGTGGCCTTCCTGGGCAGCCTGGCACGCGTGGTCTTCCCGGCCTGAAGGGCCCCCCCGGCGTCATCGGCAACACTGGGCCCAAGGGTACGCACTTGCCTCGGTTGTCTGCCACCCGGCTGAAGCTTCATTAGTGGGAATATTAATAAAAAAAAAACTTTAAAACCACATCCACGCATTCCATGGAAGCGCTCCGATGCCGCCACTGCATTCATATTGCCATAAACCAGTGGTAATATCGCTGCAGTGTTATGATAGAGTGCCAGACAGTAATAATACACTATGTTTTTCATTCACGAAGCATCCAACTCGGTGGTATGCACAACCATTTCACGAAGGGAGAACGATGTGTATTATTATTGTGCTGACTGGTTGACTGGTGTTATGACGATGTTATTACGATACAACTGACAAAACTGGGAATTTTAATGTCCCCGGAAGACTTTATTTCTTTTAAAAGAACCGGGAAGACAGATGTCCGAGGAGAGCTACCTCACAGAGAGGATGATCCTGGGAAAACCCAGGACACAGTTGGCAACACTACCCCATGGCTAATGTCTCGACTGTGCGTGGATTCCTTCACAGGCGACCAAGGAGACAAAGGAGACAAGGGGGAGGCAGGACGTGGACCTCGAGGAATGCAGGGACCACCAGGACCTCAAGGTGAGGCACCACCCCCTGCTCCCGATGGATTGAGGGTTCTCAACTTCTCAGTAATTAATCGGGAGAAATTAATGACTCCGTTTTTGTTGTTATATTATCGGACACATTTCCCCTCATTTTCTCGCATTACTCCACCTTTGGAATTTTCCTCCAATTGTCTCTTTTCCCAAGTTCTTATAACCTTGCTAATTTGAAACAGTGCGTGAGTTCTTATCTACTGTACTCTCATTAGTGATGACGGTGGCTGGCTTTGGAACTCCCTCGCATCGTCTCACTACTCAAGTGCCTATAACCTCGTACATTCAAGAAACAGGCTCGATCCTGTCTACCTGTCCTACCATTAGTTACCTCTGCTGACGGCCAGTGGTCATGGTCCTGAGGACATGGTGGTGCGACAATTAACTTAAGAATTGTGTTCGTGGTTTTTAAATTGAATATTTTTTTAATGGATAACAAAACAAATATTTCATACTTTACAACATTATTGTGTTGTGTTTGATGTAATGATGCATTCAAAGGCAGATTTATGCGAGAAAGGTGCCATAGATAAATTAAAAAAGAATAATTGACTTAACTCGCTGACCACTTGGCAATTCAGGAGTTTGGACCTGTGGTCAGCAAACGTGATTTTTTTGTTTAAATGTCCATTTGTTCAGAATGATAGATCGCAGTGGCGTAGCGTAATTGGCCCGGGCCCTGGTTCAAGGAATAAAATGGGGTCCAACCTCCTCGTAGCTTAACACCTGGGCTCCTCCGGTCCATGGACCCCAGTGCAGTTGGTAAATCGGCATTGACCACTTTTCACTTTCCGCTTCTCCCCTCGACTCGGCGCGTGCCCAGGGGAGCCGGGACGGCCTGGATACGGCAAGGACGGGCGCGACGGGGAGCGGGGCCCTCCAGGACAGCCTGGGGAGGTTGGGCGGCCAGGGTCCCCGGGCCCCTTCGGGCCACCCGGATTCTGCGATCCAGTTTCCTGCATCGGGCCGGCCGCCTACCAGGGCGTCGCGTCGGACACGAAAGGACCGTGAAGACGGCAAGTGGCGTAACCACCATCATCAACGCAACAACCGCCACCGCCACCATCATCATCTTCTCTCCTTTCCGAAAAAGGGCCACTCAGCCGACATCAGTGGTGGCCCCGTTACCGATGGATGTGTGCGTCGTTGTCCTCGTCGCCATCATCGTTGACAAGAAAAAATTACGTGCAAATAAAATGAAGGATAAGACCCTTGGTTGTTGTTAAAGCAAAAACAAAGTTGGTATTTGTTGTTTCAATACCGTCGGCGGATGGTGTTAGTTGTTGAATAATGTGCACATTTGTAATGTGACAATTTGGATTTTTTTCCCCCTTCTGTTCGGCAATGCTTTATCAGCCTGAGTGATGTCTGTCAACAACTTTGACGTGCTTTTTTTGTCATAAATATTATGATCCCATTTAAATGATTTTATTTGGGCTCGCTCACTATCCCACTCTTGTTTCATGCTTCATTGCCTCGTCATGCAGAGATGTACACCTAACGCTGTCTCCTTGACAATTATTTTTTAAAGTATTTTTTTTGTAATTGATTAAAGTGTACCAGTCTTCTGATTATGACCTGAGCGGTGAAATCGTAATTATGCATTATCTACTATACTTGATAAACGTTTTTTTCCCCCCCAAAAAAAGTTAAGAGGTGCTACATTTTACGGTGCGGCTGAAGTACGTGGACACTTAGCCAGACTTTGTTTTTTTTTTGTTATCCGAGAACTGTCCTCAAAACTTGCATCCTTAACCTCATCAGTCGTTGAGAAGGTACTATCAGGAGTGCTGCATGGTTATGTTATTTAGCTGCGTGGACATTTTTGGAAGTTGCGCCACACTAGTCCTGAATTTGCCACTCAGATTGCCACTGCACACCCCCCTTTCCCTCTTCCTGCAACCAGACCTAAACTCTCCCCAGCGAAACCACAACACCACACTCATGGCCAACCCAAGCTACTGTGTGGGCATTAAGCCCGTGTGTGCACACTCTGGAGATCTGAATTTGTATACACGAGCCAAAAGCAATATACTCGTCATGGCCCACCCACACGAAAAACGTGCACACGCATCGCAAACACACGCGCGCACACAAGCATTCCTTTTGAACTCGGTGCTTTAAAACAAAAATAATCACAGCAAGTGTGCTTCGGTAACTGAAGATGTAAATTAAGAAAAAATAAAAACTTACATTTTTCCATTCATTTGCCTAAAAGTGTACATACAAATATCACGTGCAGTATTCGGGAATCCCTGTTGTTGTGCTTTTATGTATTTTGGTTTACGCAAACAAAAGAAGGCATGGTTCAGAGTTTACCGATAAACATTGAGAGCAACATTTGATGTGAAATCGAGTTGCACTTGACGTTTGTACTCGAGGGGCGACGTTCAATAAAACATGGCTGAGTATTCAACTGAGAGCTGACATCGGCATTTAAACCACAAACACGTTCAAAATACACACACACAGGCCTGACATTGCATTGGTTGAATCGTGTCTTCATAGTTCCATTTCATAGTTCATAGTTCCATTTATTTGGTATAGCCCTGTGAACTATTCGGCTCTTGAATCGGGTGCAACCGCAACAAACAAAAACATGAACAAGAAAACATCTTTAAGTGACTATGTCTTGAGTATTGATCACAAAGCCTTCAAAGTATTGTCGAGGACCATGACCGTCACTGTGTTTCCATTAAAGAAGTCTGGAGAAAGGACGAATCAGTGAAGTCCATCGTGTTAATGGAATGACGAGATGAGTTCGTGTGCAGAGGCTAGATGGATTGTTACATCGCGTGACCGTGAGGGCGATGGCTTTGGGAGGCCTTCATCCAGCAGTGGCTAGATCACGGATGATGACAAATCACAAATGTCTACTTGGAAACCCATTGTATATGTCCTGGTCTTGAGTGAGATAAATTGTTTGATGGATAGTTTTTATTGTTATTGTGCTTGCTTACTCAGGAAAGCCTCCATGGGTCCTGCAAAAAATGATTCAGAAATAATTTCAATCGGTGAAATACATTTTCCAAAAATCTTCTGTTATTAAAAGAAAAATTACTCCAGAAAAGTTAATTGGAAACCCAGCAATTTATTAACACTTCAGAACAAACTCGTGTACCTGTGCGTCTCAATTTTTCGGTCTCAATTTAAATTGAGGCTGAAGAAAATACATGTTAGTAAACACATGCACCGGTAATGTTTTGCACACAAACATGCCAAGTAAAGAATATACACTCCCCATCAACAGTGAAGCAAGTCGTCACCTCCCATGGACTGTGACGCTAAACCTGCTGGAAATGTCAAAGCCCACTACAGGTTACTTAGTAAAGTTATAAACCCTGTTGATTAAGGCGTGTCTTTCACTCAAGAGTTCTATTCTGTCTTCAAATCCACTCGGACAGATGTTAAACTCAGTTTAACGCGTAGGCTTTCGCGACCAATATTCATAATAGAGGTTTGTTGGGTTGGATCGCGATCTAACCCAACAAACCTCTATTATAGATGTTAAATCAAGACTTAAAGCTTTCGTGACTGCAGGAATTAATATTCTTGGGTCTTTCGGTAAAGTCACGTAGATAGGTTCAAAGAAAATGATCAAAAATAACAGAAAACTACGACGTTTCGATCGCAACGCAAGTGGTCGCCTTCAGGAAGACGACCGCTTGCGAAAGACCCAAGAATATAGACGTTAAACTTCTAACTTGGTTTCTGCTTAGAGTGAGTCTCGGGCTTGTGAGTAAAGTAGTGGTTCGGCTTATTAGGGGGTCTCAGGTTTGAGCTAAAGTTCGGCTTCAAGTAATGATTCGAGTTGAGGTTAGCGTTAGAATGCGGGTTATGATTACGGTTATGCTTTGGATCATCATGGTTGGAGTTCACTTCAACTTTGGAGCCCTGCTTAAGTTTTGAGCTCGGGCGAAGTCCCAAACTCCGCTGACGCTTCAAGTCGAGGTTCGCCCCCGGGCCGGCAGGCCCCGCGACCCCAGCCGAGTCCCTCAGCGCAAAGTAACGTCCGATGGCCTCCACCCCACGGCGGCAGACGTCCAGGGGCGGCTCCGCCATGGGATTGCCGTCCACATCGGCGCCGCTCGAACCCCACCGCAGGCCGCGCAGCTCCCCAAATCCCCTGGGCAGACTGCGCAGGCGGTTGCTGCCCAACCACAGGGTCCTCAGCGTGGTCAGAGAGCACAGCTCATCCGGCAGCTCCCGAATGGAGTTGTAGAGCAGCAACAGAGTCTCCAGCTTGGCCATGGAGCCGATGGCGCTCGGCAGGCGCTCTATGCAGTTGTCGCTTGCATCGAGAAAGCAGAGGGCCTTGAGCTGGCACAGTTCGGCGGGCAGCACAGGGCCCAGCTTATTGTTGGCCAGGTGCACGCTCCTCAGCTTCCGCAGGCCGCCCAGACCCCGCGGGAGGGCGGTGAGCGCGTTGTTGCTGAGGCTCACGCGCTCCAGGTTGGCCAGCAGCGACACCTCGGAGGGCAACTCCCTGAGCTCGTTGGTGTCGAGGCAGAGGACGCGCAGGTTGTGCAGGCGGCACACGTCCGCGGGCAGCGAGCGCAGCGTGTAGTGGATGCAGCTCTCCCGCTCGGGGCTCAGGTCCAGCACCTCCAGCTCGGAGAGGGAGAACAGCTCCGCGGGGAGCGACAGAAGCTCTCGGCCCGACAGCTTGAGGCGCTTGCCTTCGAACAGCGGGTGCTTGTCCACGCGCAGGCGCAAGCGTCGCTCCGCCGCAGTCGTGTCCCGTGTGTTGGGGTGGCCCTGACTGTGGTGACCCTGACTGTGGTGACCCTGACTGTGGTGTTCGTGACCTTGATCGTGACCCGGATCCTGCCCGGACTGACCCGGCCACTTGCTCATGGTGAGGTAGCAGCAGTGGCTTTTGCTCAGCTATTTTATATTGATACTGAATCAAACCGCCTCATTACATCGGAGCCGTTTTGGGAGTACCATACTTTATCCGCCAGTGGATTGATCATTGTGTGATGATGATGATGATGAATTAGTCCATAACATTTGTAATAATGTGTTGGACGATTGAATGAGATGCAAATATTTATATTGTATGTAAGAATAATACGGTACCCTGTATGTATCCAAAAAAGCCTTACCAAGTCTCAAGACAACTGCTGATAATCTTTGAACTTCATGTTTTTGCTTTTCGTATGCATCTCAATTAAATACTGTGGCTAAAATACCAAAATCCGGTGTAAAAATGTTCAAGACAGAAACACGTTGAACAACTTTAATACAGCGCAGTGGTAATGAACAGAATGTTGTTTAACTAGTAAATTATATCACAGAGCCTCAAGACTCTTTTGCAGGAGGATGCTGCATTGGGACGTTTGGCCAATTCCATCGACGAGTGATTTGCATAAACAAAACTAAATAATGTGACTGCTGTATTCATTCCAATATAAATGTTCAATCTTGACACTCAAATTATTTCTGAGACCAGAATCATTGCTGGTCAATTGACGAAAGTTTAATTCTGTAGTGCTATGGATTTTTTTAATACAGCATTCAATATGCCAACTGGTGTGATGTTATAAAAGTGTTAAATATGTTAACTGGTGTGACATTATATAAAGTGTAATATGCTAACTGGTGTGATGTTATCACAGTATTCAATATGCTAACTGGTATGATGTTACAATATAGTTAATTACTACTGGTGTGATGTTAAAATAGAGTAGAATACACCAACTGCTCCGATGTTATAGTCAGAGGTACATATGCTAACTAGTATGCATTGTATGATCCCAACTAGTATTCTAAGTGGTCTGATATAATACAGATTGCTAACTGGTATGCTTATATAATAAAGTTCAATACGCTAAACGATAAGATATATTTTTTAGTGTCGTTAACCCGCTACCACCCGACACAGCACATTAGTAAAGTTTGTCACGTCAATAAAACGTGGCCAATTCGTTACCAGTACAGCACACCGGTGCGTTGGAGCGTAAACCCACAACACTTACAATTCGAGTACGACGTTTCGCCGGTAATTGCAACAAGCATTATCAGGCGACAGCTAACCCATCATCCATTGTACAGTAGCGACCTCTAATCTAACTGCTGTATGGTTGTATAAGAACACAATGTACCTTGTCCCGGGAAGAGTTGCCTGCCCCGCTTAGAGGTTGGTGTTGCGAGCCGACTAAAGACGCCTCCATGGCAACGTAAACACACCAAGACTGACGCTGTGGTGATGACGATCACAGTGGTGGTGGTGGTGATGCTGGTGGTGGTGATGCTGGTGGTGATGATACTGGTGGTGGTGATGCTGGTGGTGATGCTGGTGGTGATGATGCTGGTGGTGATGATGCTGGTGGTGGTGATGCTGGTGGTGGTGCTGGTGGTGCTGGTGGTGGTGATGCTGGTGGTGATGCTGGTGGTGGTGATGCTGGTGGTGGTGCTGGTGGTGATGCTGGTTATGGTGCTGATGGTGGTGATGCTGGTGGTGATGATGGTGGTGGTGATGCTGGTGGTGGTGATGGTGGTGGTGGTGCTGGTGGTGGTGGTGCTGGTGGTGGTGGTGATGCTGGTGGTGGTGATGCTGGTGGTGGTGATGGTGGTGGTGCTGGTGGTGGTGCTGGTGATGCTGGTGGTGGTGATGCTGGTGGTGGTGATGCTGGTGGTGGTGATGCTGGTGGTGGTGATGCTGGTGGTGCTGCTGCTGATGAGCGCCCATGAAGACCAGAACGGTCCCGCTCACAGCCAATACCAGTGACGATTATGTGTGAACCGGTCATGGCCATTCCCTAGGTCGACTCAACCTCAAATTAGTATCTGGTGCGGTGTGTAGTAAACATTGCCACTAGGGAGACAAAGGCGGTCGGGCGTGGTGCTGGCCATCCACCCCCTCGTGTGCCGTGCCGGCCTTCATAGGTGATGCTCGCTAACAGCACTTGCCCCAACAGTTTGTTAAGGTTATAAACAGGGGATCCTTGTCTTCTTTGGTGGTGTTGATGACCATGATGATGCTGATGGAATCATCGCTTCTTGCCGCCACCGCACGCTAATAACACTTTTGTAAAAGCGACCTTGCAACCGCATGATGATAATAGGCTGCTAAGTATGATGACCTTAAGTTGCGTTTTGACACTCGGGTTTTCATCATCGTTGCAAACCTCCTCCCGGAGATTCGATTGAAACGTCTCGTGCTGTTTTCGAACGTTCTGCAATTGTGAGTGTAGCGGCCTCTAGTGGCTGGCTGGAAGGCTGGAGGTCACACGAACTCAATTTTATATTGCAATGCAATGTTTCCAAAATATCACATTCAGATTCGGGATAAATTATGTACACTGGAGGAATCCGATGAACTTTAAATATATACTTTTTTTTACAGATGTCCAGTAGAGGCGGGTCAGAACGTTACAACAATACAAAAACACGACAGAGTGCAAAGAATGGGAAAGGTAAACACATCACTTAAAAATATGCAAATAAAACTAAACTATTTTTTTGTATCTTACCGTGTTAAGCCCACTGAGGTGTTAACTTATTTTTCAGACAGCGACCTGGCCACAAATGACAGCTCAACAAAGTGGCTTATCATGCGGAGATTTAGAGCGCCAAAATAATCTAAATAATCTCAATGCATATTTCTAAATGGTAACGTTTTTACTGACATTTGATATGACATAAATGCACTACTGAAATCAATGTTAATGTTTAACGAATGTTTCATAAGATATCAAATAATGGGATGGAAAAAAATACGTACAGATTAACAAACTCGCACTTGCTCCATTATACTGTAAAGTATGAAACGATGATGATACTGCACCAATGTCATCATGGATTATGATGAAAACGACAGTTACATATCTTACGAAGGAGAATCTGAATTTAATTATTGGTTGAGTGTATTAAGATTGGTGGGATAATTTACATTACATTGCCACTAAGGAGACAAAGGCGGCCGGGCGTGGTGCTGGCCACCCATCCCTTCATGTGCCATGCTGGCCTTCATAGGTGCTACTCGCTAACAGCACTTGCCCCAACAGTATGTACAGGGTATACGGGGGATCTTTGTTTTTTGTGTCTATGCTGTAAATGGTTGTGTGTGTTTGCGAGCTTCTCTATGAGACAATGTGTATTCGTGTGTCTTCAGCCTGGTGCGGTGTAAACATAAACGACCTCTTGCCTTAATAGGTGCTCGCCAACAACACCTATCCCATTACCACCTCAAGGGGTATACGGGGGCAATATTCGTGCAGGTATTTTGTGTGGTGCATCTGTATGACCAAATCATCCCGAATGCGCCGAATGGTTTCAGATATCGGAAGCGGAGCAAGTTTGAGCCTGGATAATACTTGAATAGGTGGCCACCAAATCACAAGAGTTTGGTATAGGCTTTTGCTGGTCTACGTGGTTGATCATTGGTGATCAGTAAAGGGCAGTGCAACAACATACATTGTTGTACTCTACTTATAGGCTCCCGCGTATATGCTCCCCACCTTTCAACCCAAGCTGACCAGCATGGTGAAGTATTTTTAATAATGTTTTTATACATATATAAAGCGTCGTCGGTTCAAGCAAATGTCATCTCTCACAATTGCTGAGGAACCACAAATACGAGCTGGAAAGGCAGGAGCCAGGCGGGGATTTGGTGCCAACAATTGCCCAAGCTCGGCGATCCTCCATATATATTAAGATGCTTTCAGCTAATTTATGAGTTTATACTTGGTGAAATAACCCCTACGACCCGCACGGCCTGAATAGGCCCTCGTCCAACAATGGATTTACAAAAGAGGCAGCACGTTGGATTCCAAGTTTGAAATGATGTATCGGCGGTTTTAGAGTGGTTTATAATTGGGACAACACGTGCTGTGAATTATCAGCAAAGTCAAGAAGTCACTCAGGCTGGACTGCACGGTTCATTACTTCGTATACTTTATTATTTAGTATTTCTCGCTAAATAAAATACATTTAGGAACATGAAAGTACAGAACGTATCAAAACAATTCTAAATCATTCAAAATCACGATGGACGGCAACATATAATTATCACGTACCTCGTCTTCAATTAACAAAAAAATAGACATTGATCGTGATTCTTCAAAGCACCGTTTTATAACAGCTGATGAAATACAGCATGTCGCATATCCGACCGTGACTGTCTGCCCTGATCAGTTAACTGCCCCACACCCAGCACAGTGTAAATATAATGTTCTATAGCTGTTAAAATATCCGCCTATACCTCCGTCTCCTCGTAAGGTATATGACAGAATGTAATTCATTAAGAAAGATGTGTTGTCTATACGGCAGGCGATATGGGCACAGCAGGTATATCATGACAAATCCTTCTGCAACACAATGAATTGTTACGATTTCCATCACTTCCATTCAAGAATGGATTTTTTTTTCTGTTACAAGTTGATGGCAACAGGATCCACGTGAACATAGAAGGTACAGTATATGAAAGGACAATCTTCGATTCTTACGTGCGTGATTCGACGCATGCATGGACGGTGAGAGTAAGAATCGGATTAATGAATCATGACACCCCTGATGTAATATAACCTGCTCGTTACCAATTGTAAAACACCGCATGGTAGGGTCCATTAAAGGTCCAAATTAATATTTTTTTTATTAAATGTTAATTGAGCTTTAAGTAATGCTCCATGAATAATTACACTTTTTATTCATTCATGAGAATTAGTGTGGTTATATAACTGGCGATATAATTGCGTGTTTTTCTTCTCACAAGTTTAATTGTGCAGTCATGTGTTGGAAAGCCAATGGGCTCGATTCACATTGTTGGCGAACAGTGACCACGTTTCCACCGTCACAAAATGGGGCAAATCGTTTTGCCAGGATTAGAGTCTGGCCATAAAAATACACAACTTCAACCAGATATTAACCCACCATCGTGAGTTGGTCATTCTTCAGCAACTGTCTGTCATGTGAGAACGGTCGAAACATATCACGGTGGTGATTTCAATTTTGTTCAAATGGCACAATTTTCCAAAAAAATATAACCAGAAAAGGGGCATGCACCAACTGGGCTCATGTATTCAATGATATTTCATGTGAATTCTTAAATGGCCGATACAAACTACGTTTACTGATTTTCACCAGTTTTGGCAATGGAATAAAAAAAATGTAAACCAAAATTGGGCCATATGTGAATTGAGCTCTTAAAATATAATTTGTGATACTATTTATAAGAACCTGGTCTATTATAAGGGGCATAATCAGACGGATCGTGACTCATGGTTCAACCAATGAATAATTTAATAAATAATCACCTTTATTTAGAACTAGGTAAAGTTTAAAATCCATGGATGATGTGAAATTGCTTCATCTTAATTTTTTTGTCACGAAAATACTTTAAAAATATTGAGCATGCAAATTAAAACAACAGGAACGAATGGTTGCGTTATTTAAAAACCATAATGCCAAATACATTATAAAGTGTTGGAAAATATCAATTCTTAACAAGCATGTGCTGACATACATACATGGTACAATGTGTGCACGTGCAGGTGTGGTAGAAACACCTTAACTCGGTTAAATTGATTGCCAGTAAAACATTCCACTATAAAACCTTAACCAGCAGAGTATACCAACCCACATTCTAGATGACGATACACACCGTGAGATTTCAAGGAATCATGAAAATAAAGGAATGTATAAAAAAACAACAACAGTAAGATCAACATGCTAAATAAAACTACCAAATAGTTAATATGCTCGGAGTGAAATGCAATCTGAAACTGCTCCAAATATGTTTTAAAAGTTATAAGTGTGTGTGTGTGTACTAGGGATGTTTCAGATTTTTGTAATTAAGTGAAAACAATTCGAACATCTGGCCTCGACACAACATTTTGGATTATCTGAATTTTTATTGGTTTTGGATCGATAAATTCAAGAAACATGGCACCACGGGAAATGATGGCACAGGAAATGACCTAACTTTCCTGCTTCTGCCAAAAGTGGCGTTGGGATGATGTCACTTCTGTTAGCACGAAGACATGTTACATTATTATATGTAAATCATCTGAAAATACCTGTATTAAAAATTATCTGAAATTTGCCTTAAAATAAAAAAAATGTGGAATCCAATTTTTTTTTCAAATCAACAACCCATCCCAAGTGTGCGGTGCCGGTGATTATAGGTACAGTTATGCTGTATACGCATCGACGTGCATCAGGACTATAGAGATACAGGTGAGCAACCAGCGGTGGTGGTGACTCCACCACCCCCTTGTGTGCTTCAGCAGCAGCAGCAGCCATATGTATGGCTATGTGGGAAATTGTTTGTATGTGTGTGCAGTATATTTGTGTTCGTAGCACCACATCAAATAAAATCACTTCCAACAACACATGTTCATAAATACAGAACAGCAAACACTGTAAAAACATACAGTGCACAGTTAAACTCACCAATTGCTTTATCACAAAAAAGTACCCTGTGTAACTCTTTAAAATGTATACAAATAAAGAAAATAAAAGTATCCAGCCAGAAAGTAATATCAACACATCAAAAAAATAAAGAAATGTAATTCAAATACCATTTTACGAAATTGGATCTCACAAATATCTCACCCCACTAATGTTCGATATATACACACACACCGCAGGAGAGGCGGTACAGTATCATGTTATATAAGGCTATCTGACAAAGGCCAAGACAATTGCACAACCAGAATAACTCGCACTTTTGCCGCAAGCAATTGGTCAATAGCGCTTATTTACATATGACAAGAATACAAAAATACTTTAAATGTAGTGAAAAATATTATTTAACTGGTACGCATTGCACTGTGGTCTTTCAGCAGTGTGTCCCGGAGGTGACGGAGGGCAGGGTTAACTTTATCACAAGAGAGTGGGAGAGCAGTGAGGTAATTCTAAAAATCACCTGTATTGTGATACAATCAAACAAGATGATGGTGCAGCGCTACAATTATTTTCTCACACCACTGTTGGCCTGGCCACACTTTGTGCCACCACACGCGATCTGCTGCTCATGTAGACTGTGGTGTTTGCATTTCAACTATCACGCCAGGCACGCCAGGAGACCAATAGAATTGGTGACATCTACTTGATTGCAGTTCCGGTACGTCTATTACACATCAGGAGCATCCCTAAAATGTCACACGAAAAATGTTGACCTTGAGCTGCGATCATCATCTCCCTGTTGGTCCGAATTCAGTGGTGGTTGTACCGATATATTAAGAGATTAAAAGATGTTCTCCCTAAAAACAAAGAGATCGAGGACGTGCAACATGCCACCAAAAATCAGTAAAACAAAATCTGCTTTCCAAAATGCAAGCTTGATGGCAAACTTACAATATATTTAAAACTCATCCCAATACTATCGATGCACGAGTCATCTGTTAATTTATTTTAAACTGGAATACCCAAAGTAGTAAGGATATGTACACAACTGCACACAACTGCACACATGGGCGCCGGAGGCACCCAGGTTCTGGGCTATGAAGAGGGGTGGAAAGACAGAGGGCCCAACTTCCTTGCTTGCATCAGGGCTGATGGGAATCACTCACGACTTACTCTCTCACCAAAGGTGATACTTTCTCAACAGATGCCACCTCCCGCACTGACCTCACACGGAACACTGCAGGTGGTTTTGAGTCTACCCAATGTTACCGAATGCTTAAAGTCACATGTCTGTGCGGTCTGCTTTATCTGGGTTTCGAAGGGGAGCGGCGGTGCAGTTGTTGCACACATAGCACTACGAACCTGAAAACCCGAGTTCTGTTTCCAGCCAAGACTCACGTTGCTGGCGATTGACCCACCTCGCGAACACGCACTGACCAGCATGGTGAAGTATGGTTAATAATTCCCACAACCGTCACAGCAAGGGAAGGCCTTCGTCAAGGAGTGGAGACAAAGAGATACAATGTATGATTATTTCATGTGTTTTGAAAGGAAGTCTTCTCATGTAGTATATTTTGTTCGAAAAAATGTACGACTGTTAATCAACAAATGACAAATAAAACAACCCCATAGCTAGAAAATTGTTTAAAAATATATATATACATCATAAACAATGACTACAAACACCTTTAAATCGAAGATAGTGGTGACTCACTCCACTGAAAATATTAAATTACTATGCTGGCCAGAAAATGTGATCTATTTAGCAGAAACACAAAAAATTTTGATGCAACAATAAAGAAAACAATGAACTCGCAGCCATTCTATTGCCAGGTACTGTCTCTTTTCCAATCAATTCCCGCTTACGGAGATAATTCCAGCCAATTAGAGATGTATTATCGTGCCTGGATGCCCTCCTCCTGCCAGTGGACCCCAGTGCAGTTGCACCGTCTGCACACCCGATAGCATTTAAAGCATTTTAGCTGAGGCCTACCTGCGAGCAAGTAGGCCTCAGTGAGTCTCCAAGAATGTGAACACTGATTCATTGGCCAATAACACCTTTATATATAGAGGACTGCAGAAGTTAGCAGGGGTGGAGGGGATTTGGTGCCAGGTGCACTGCCGCTTGTCTGTGGTTCTTCCTCGCGTCTCTCAAGTCGTTCCCTTCGAGAGTGAGCGACCACTGTGCGGCAGCGGGGCACTACAAGGTTGAGATTGAGCATGAGTTCCTTACGGTTGCTTCGTCTCATGCGGTGATGCCAGTAGCAACAACGACCGGAATCATATTGGAAAAGAGACAACAGAAAATGCCCCCACACCGCCAGCCCCCCCCCCCCCATTGGATTTTAGGAATGTGCCATCACATCCAAATCAACACACTGCTAAAAACAAACAGCCCAAAACTGGTGCATTGGATGGGGTGGCACTTTTGGTTAACTTCGAGAATAATAATCTTTTTTGCTGACACGCGCGCGCAGAAAAAAGACACGAAATGAGGTTATATAAAACAAAAACAGTAAATAAACAAGAGCGGCCGGAAAAAAAAATCCCGACCGGCAGGATTTGAGGTACTTTAAGGATCGCACTTAAACTTTACCGGACTGCACCGCAAATCGCGAGCGCAATGAAAACAATCAAAAAAATATATCAACTGGAAACCATTTCTAGTTTTCCGTGATTTGAAACGCGATGGTTAAACAGTACAGCAGTATTCAAATATCCCATGACGCTGGACGTGTCATTGTACAACCACCCCGTCCAAAAAAATATAACTAAGAGATTAAACAGTGTATCAGCGTAGGTATTGTTTTTTGTACGCAGAAAATAAACCTTAGTGCACGGAGTTTTATGATAACCACTCGTGTAAAAAATAACGTTTTTTTCAAAAGCGCAACTAAAGCTATTTACTTATCAAAGTTTAGTTAATTAAAACTGGCCTCGATAATGCGCTTTAACATTTGAAAAAGTTTCGGTCATGTGTTTCATGGTAAAAAAAAGGAAACGTTTTGTTTAGAATAAAAGTAATTTGATGATTGTCCTGGGGGGGGGGGGGGTGGGAAACTAAAACTGGATAACCCATATATTCGTTTAAAAAGACAACCCTTGCTTGCTTCACTGGAGCACTTTAACGATCCACTTGATACAGTTATTATCGTACCATCGCCCCACAGATGGCCGCACAACGAACTTACCAATTCATTGTTTTCATCCACTTAATCCACATTTACTAGGAACAAGAGTCCGACTTGCTAGACAAAATAGATTGCGTGGGTTATCACGTTTTTTAGTTTCTGTTACACCCCCCCCCCCCACCCCCTTTCATTTGCGTGGTTGCCTCGTGTCGGCGAATCCACGTGCGAGCATCCTGCTGCATCTTGCGCGTCCGTGTCGATAAGGAGGTCCTAACGAGGGATTTGGAGAGGTTCAACGCAAGGGTTTTTTTTCCCCCCCACGGCCTCCTGCGAGGAGTGGCCACTAGAGCTAGTGGTAACGACAATGGCATCACTGGGCAACTGGGGGCTGCAGGAGCCTTTGAAATTGAAATCGGGTTGCCACCCCGCCCCCTCCCACCTTCACTCGCATGGGCCAGTGAGGGTGAAATTAGTTTAAGAAATAAACGTACAGGGTGTACATATCGGTATTACCATACATCGTTAAGGAATTATAATAAGACAGCAGTTTGAGCTAAGTTGAAAAAACCACCAAGATAAAGCCAAAGATACTCCATATAATCTTGATTTGAAGCTTTCGTGACTGCGGAAATCCATACTCTTTGGTTCTTTCGGTAAAGTCACGTAGGTAGAAAAAAATAGATCACAACGTTTTTTTCTTGCTGTGATTCATGACGACTGCTTGTGTTGCGATCGAAACGTCGTGACCCATTATTTTTCTACCTACGTGACTTTACGGAAAAGGAACCAAAGTGTATATACTCCATATAGTATTTTAACAGATTGTCGGGGCAAGTGCTCTTCGCGAGAACATTTTGAAGCCGGCACACCGAACTTTGTACTCATTTAAGGCTGAGTCGACCTAGCGGAGGTCAGATATTCGTCACCGTTGTTGGACATGAGCGGGAATCAATCTCGATAAAACTACACACACACATACAAGTATTTGGTGGTGTGAATCATCGATGTGCCCACTATGGCTTTGGTGACAAATACCACGTTGAGTTTTGAGTCCTGGCTGGGTATCTGCCAGCATCTCGGCTCTGATTGTTTCGAACACGCATCTTATGCGCTGCTGTTGATCATTCAAGATTTCAGGTTTTTAAAATGTTAGGTATGGGAGGAGCGGGCCTTCCAACATTTCAACCACGCATTTCGAACTGCCGTCTATGTATAATCACGTAATAATGGTACATTAATGGACACCGTATTATCGTCATCAGATTTGATATATTTTGTCATTTACTCTGCCTGAAACTCCCCCTCGTTCAAATTTGCCAGTGATACCAATGCACAGCGTGAGTGTACGCCAGGCTGACAATGCTTTACCACGGCCACCAATAACAGGCCATCTCGTACGAACATAAACATGTAATTGTGAATTAACGAAGAGAAGGAGATTAAATAAGAGTGCGGCAGAATTTGCAACTATGCCACATCTTTCTGTCCTATTTTTCTGTTTCATATATAGCTATTGTTTGCAGAAGCGACCTTGCCACAAATGAAAGCTCGACAAAGATGTCGAGGGAAAAACCAGAGGATCCGGAGAGAAATCCACACGACCGCGGGGAGAGAGAACATGCAAACTCCAAATATACAGGCATCAGGGTCGGGATCAAACCCACAACCTCTTGTATACCAGGCGAGGTAGTTAACATCTCGCCACCGTGGCGCCCTGACAAAGTGTTGATGCCCAAAATGTAACGTTATCTTGTACAAACTTACTCTCCAGATTAGAAGGCGCACCTTTACCCCCTGTATTATAAAGCTAAAGTCGTGGGTGCATCTTATAATCCAGTAGGTTCGTGCATGACCAGATTTGTATAACTTTATTTACACCGGGCACAATTTTGGGGTGCGTCTTACTTTTTGGAAAATCTTATAAATCAGGCGAATATGGTATTTTATGATCCATTTTTTGTTTTGGGTGAGGTCAAGTGGTAGTTTTAAGCCAAAATTATCGTAATTAACCCTCCAGCACCTGTCAAAATTGTCAGGCTTAAACCGATATTATTTATACGTTGCCAATATATTGATCAAATTCTGACCAATAAAGCGTCTCTTCACTGGTGGCATAAGACTGTTCTCAACTGGATTCAACGTCAACGTACGATGGGGAAAGGTACGTCTCGCAATAATTTTATCCTTATGGCCGTATTATCAACGACGATGGCTGTAAAGCATTCTCATCCTGCGCCTATCCGTCACTGCGAACGCTAAATCCCTGCAGTCTTACGCGAAAGCAACAAACGGTCGCCAACTTTTTTGCCCGAACGTAAAGTGTCCTCACGCGGCGATCATTCAGAGCGCAGAGCAGCCACAGCATGGGATCGTAAACATCCTCCACCGCTAGGCCGCAACGCCAGGGTTGTCACCTGTCCTGGTCTATCCAGGATCGTGCTCTTATTGAGGTAGCTCTCCTGCCAAAATCACATAGTCCTTCCATGACGTTATTTGCGTAATAATATAATAATGCACCACCAAAGATAAAATACAATTACAGGTAGGTCTCCCCTCTTGCAGTATTGAGAGATATTATTATTCCCATTATGTGTCCTGTTTGTTTTTTGGTACCTAAGAGGTGGAAAGCATTGGAGTGGTTTCCACGAGTCTGGCAACCAAGGGGAAGACCTCAGAGCAGATGACGGGAGGGGTGGGATGCTGTTAGGGCGGGTCGTCTCGGATGTCGCACGCCTACTGTGCAGCAGCCGCGGAATCTGCTCGAGAGAATAGAAAGGGTTAGCGAGGTTTGGTGGCATGAAAGGCCTTGGCCATGACAACACCTCCATCTGTCATAATCAGAGGGGGGCAACCCTTACGTGATTTCGCATCACCCCCCCCCCCCCCCCGCCGTGCCCAACATCTCCGCAGATCTCGTCTCCTCGTCTCCCGTCAAGGCCTTTCCGTGTCCCGACGGTCGCGGTACGCAAGCAGGGCCGCTTGCTGGCACGTCGTCGGGTCACAGCGGCCGGCCCGGCCCGGAGGCCCCTGTGGCCCTGGCATCCCCGCTATGCCGAACCTGCCTGGAGGCCCTGGGGGGCCTGGGCTGCCGTCATTGGCCTGCCCGGGGTTGCCCGGTGTGCCTGCAGAGAACGCGCGTAATTGTGTAAAAATACATTTCTATTTGTGGACACATCATCTGTGCATGTATCGCATGTATGGTGAGCTTAAGAATCGAATTTTCTGAATCAATACATCATTATACCCCTAAAAGGTGCACTCTGGTGATCTCTGTTAGTATCATTATTAACAGCCTTTTGTCAATCAATTGCTGAATGAATACCTCCCACGCTCTCTAAGTCGTGAGGATTTTTTTAACTTTACTTGAACACGCTGGTCATGGGAACTGGTCTTGAGCCACCCCTCTTCACCAACCCTCACGGACCAGCGTGACGTATGGTCAAACAACCCCCATGACTGACACGGCTTAAGGAAGGAGGCCTTCATCCAGCAGCGGATTGACAAAAAGGGAGGTACATTATTCATCATCATCATTATTATTATATACATTTTACACAAATTCACAATTGACTGGCTGAGTAAAATCGTATCTATCGCACCTGGTTGTCCTGGAACTCCGCGTTCCCCTTTGATCGCGATCCCAGGGTCCCCTCGTTGACCCTTGGGGCCCCTATCGCCTGTGATCGCCAGCACACAGCACGCGCGCGGGGGGGGGGGGGGGGGGTAGGTCGAGAGTGCTGTTTCCAGGTTTGTGGAGGGGGTAAAAGTCAAACACTACGTGCCAACGATGGCATTTCTACCTGGGTTATATCAATGTTAAGCCAGGATACATAAATGAACTAATCGTGATATTGTAGAACCTCGATATTGTTATTAAGTCATGATAGAACTGTTATAACAAAAAAATTCCAGCAATTACAATGTCACTGACATATAGTTGTGGAATTTGTCGGAAAATGGTCATTTATTGCTTAACATTGCATCTGAAATATTGGTACTATCACAACCACTAACAATGCTATTTACTTATGAAGGCCTCATGGAATCGTGGGGGGAGGGGCGAGTGGGGTCCTGTATTGGGTTGTTTGGTGCATGTGCTGGCAGCTTCTTCAGAATCTAAAAGAACTCGCAGTGCACTTCTTCAATTCCTCCAAGCACGGGGAGCGAAACGTCAGACATCGTGCCAAACAACACCAGGTGCAGCCCGAAAGCAAACGTCGAAGAGTAAGACTCGTTGGTAACATCAGCATTGCGGATCAACATAGTGGGGACGACACCTACCTTGAGGACCCTGTATGCCGGGAGGGCCCTGGGACCCCATTGATCCCTGTGGACCTGGTTCCCCAAGCATGCCAGGTCGACCGGGCGTGCCATCCCTTCCCGGTGGGCCAGGAGGCCCTGGTCTCCCCGGGGATGTGACGATGGCTGCAGGCGACTGGATGTGTGCCATCACCCTCGTGAGTCGATCTGCAGTAGCAGTGGCAGCATCAAGAGCACGCGAGCGCACGATAGCACAGGAATACAAGATTAAGCCAGGCAATCAAGTGTAGGGACGCATAACGTTTAATCTAACGACTGCAGGATGAAGAAGGCCTCTCCAAGACGTCGCCATTGCTCATGGTCACGTGATAATCCACCTCGTTCGCGCACACGAGCTGATCCCATCACCTCAGTTCCTCTCGGGTGGGTTGCCTCCTTTGGCTGCCACTCCATCGTCAGTCTCGACCACCGGCCGTTATCTTATCTAGCACCGTGTCCTGACCAAGGCCACTTCATTTTTCTAACATTACAACTCGCGTTTGCAGTATGATGCGTGTGTTTTCCCCTTTTGGTTTCTCGGGGTAATTACAAGCATGCACCTCTTCAGGTGCCTTTGCAAAAATTTCAATCGGTGCATATTTATTACAAGAACACTGCCAAAGAAGATGCAACAAAATCTTCAAAGTGCTGATCACATTAACAGCCCTTTATTTCTCTGGTCAAGCATCACAGTTGCAATACTTTTGATGGAGGCTCCTGTCCATTCGTTGATTGTTAAAGGGTTTTTTTTATTCACAAGTTGTGCAGCATAGGCCAGATTTTCACGAAGTAGCCAGAAACAGAGATCAGAGCACACAGAAGGCATGCAATGATTCCCTCCCTCCCAGTGATTCGATTAACTAAGATGATACGGCGTCGAGATTCTATTCAAGAATAATCAGTAAAACAACTTCTACACCACTTCTCTGTGTACCTTCTAATATCCTGGTGACCTCTTCTCTTATCAGACGCTTCATCTCGTCAAGGGGAAAAGCGTCACCCTGGTGAAATATAAAATATACAAAAACGGCAGAGACAGTGAGTACATTCACGTAACGATGGCCTTGGCCATGCAATGCTCATATTGGAGGAATAGTACAATGCTGGTTATCAGACCATCACACATCCGCCCAGACCAATTAACCACACACGCCCAATGCAGTGCTGCATTTTTGCGTGGTGTAACTGTTATTTTATACAGGTGTTCACATATCTCATCTTTTCACATATCTGCCTGTACCTCAGTCTCAGGTGAGATGTTAACTACCTCGCCTGGTATACAGGAGGTCGTGGGTTCGATCCCGAACCTGACACCTGTATATTTGGAGTTTGCGTGTTCTAACCGTGGATTTTCTTCTGGGTCATTCAGTTTTTCCTTTCAAATTTAGAATCAAGGTGCGCTTAGATTATTTGGCTATACATTTTCACATGATATGCCACTTTGTTGAGCTATCATTTGTGATAGCCAGGTCGCTTCTGAAACAGCTATATTTTACCAGGTAAGGCCCACAAGAGCTATAAAGCTCAGTGGGCCTTACCTGGTAAAATAAAAAAATAGTTTAGTTGATAGTTTTAGAGTTGCATGTGTGACGTCGTACTGAAAAAGGAAAGGTTGGTGTTGACACACCAAACCAGGTTCGCGTTTTTAAGGTTGAGCCTATCTAGGAGAGTCCCAGGTCATGTTTAAATACCAGTTTCCACCGGCGTTGTGTATGGTTGGAAAATATACTTGGGTTTATGGGATTGTAGGATGGTGCAGAGACCAATATGGCACCGCTCTCCTCCGACATGCTGAGACGACAACGATATCCAGTTAAGCCTGAGAGACCAAGTTAGTGTGCTTTGAACACATATATAGGCCAGTATCATGCACGGCTGCATTTGTCTCCCGAGCGATGATATTCACACACACACACTGTACCGGGTACTCATTTAAACTCGAGTAGACCAAGGTTAGGCCCAGGACCGGTTCAGATGTCACTTGCCACAGATTTTAGCCATGGCCACGAATTGAACTTAAATGACTACTAACTACCCTGCCACCACTCCCCACAGCCACACCCACAAGAGGCAAAATCCTCCACATAGCCTACAGAGGCCGTCGAAGCAAATGCTGTTGGCAAACACCTATTAAGGTCGGCACAGTACAGGAAGGTGGTGGTGTGGTCGGAACCGCACCTGGCTGCCACACACATAAACCACACATAAACCGCACGCCAACATACAAGGAAAACGGCAGGAGGAGGAAGCAATACGATGAAAGTATACATAATCGATCGCGTGAATATAAACGTGTTGTTAAACCTGCCACGACCCGACACAGCCAATTAGCAAGGTTTGTCACGAAAACAAAAAATCCGAATTCTCTACTAGTTCAGCACACCGGTGCGTTGGAGAGTAAACCCACAACATTTACAATTCGAGTACAGTGACGTTTCGCCTGTAATTACAACCAGCATCATCAGGTGGACAGCCAGAGTTTTGGAGAAATCCTCCTGCTTCGGTGTTAAATAGAGGGATAAATGTGATGTCTTCACTTGTGAGGAAATCAGGTGCGAAGGCCAGAGAAGGGGGGTGATGTATGCAAATAAAAAAATGGATATCGATTACCGGCTGGGTTATTATGAAATAAGAACAATTTTCACGTATATTCAAAATGAGTGAAGAAACAAAGAAGCTTCACCTTGGGTCCATGTGGCCCGACGGGCCCCATCAACCCCGGCAGGCCGGGTGAGCCCCTCTCGCCGGGGATACCGTACGGCCCCATCGGCCCGGTGATGCCCTTCACCCCTGGGGGCCCCGGCTGGCCGGATGGGCCCTTGTCTCCCTGGAGTCCCTGGTCGCCCTGTAGGCCCTTGTCTCCCTGGAGTCCCTGGTCGCCCTGAATCCCGGGCTCCCCCTGGATGAGAAGTCCCCCAATATGGAACGCAGAGAGCAACCGATTAAACGAATGAGTGGCTTTTACACTTGATTTAATCGACAAAACATTTGTACAATTCCGTAAAAATGAACCAATGTATCCATGTCCTTATCTTTTGGTGGAAGGAGGGTGGATGGGGGGGGGGGGGGCAAGGTTTTTGACTCACGTCATTCTTATTATGTATGGGGTTTGAATAAAACAACAGGGATACAATTGCATTTTCAATGTTGTGAGTCATCCCACGGCATCCGGGGTGGTAGCCGAGTGGAGTAGTCCACTCGTTCCACCAGGTTATGCTCGTTGTATTGTGTAATCACCAGTGATACGCGCCTGATGGTTTGTACCTCACCACAATGTCACAGTTTGGTACAGTGAGGGAAAAAAGTATTTGATCCCCTGCTGTTTTTGTACGTTTGCCCACGGACAAAGAAATGATCAGTCTATAATTTTAATGTTAGGTTTATTTGAACAGTGAGAGACAGAATGACAACAACAAAATCCAGAAAAACGCATGTAATTTTTTTTATAAATTGATTTGCATTTTAATAAGGGAAATAAGTATTTGACCCCTCTGCAAAACATGACTTAGTACTTGGTGGCAAAACCCTTGTTGGCAATCACAGAGGTCAGACGTTTCTTGTAGTTGGCCACCAGGTTTGCACACATCTCAGGAAGGATTTTGTCCCACTCCTCTTTGCAGATCTTCTCCAAGTCATTAAAGTTTGAGGCTGACGTTTGGCAACTCGAACCTTCAGCTCCCTCCACAGATTTTCTATGGGATTAAGGTCTGGAGACTGGCTAAGCCACTCCAGGACCTTAATGTGCTTCTTCTTGAGCCACTCCTTTGTTGCCTTGGTCGTGTGTTTTGGGTCATTGTCATGCTGGAATACCCATCCACGACCCATTTTCAATGCCCTGGCTGAGGGAATGAGGTTCTCACCCACGATTTGACGGTACATGGCCCCGTCCATCGTCCCTTTGATGCGGTGAAGTTGTCCTGTCCCCTTAGCAGAAAAACACCCCCAAAGCATAATGTTTCCACCTCCATGTTTGACGGTGGGGATGGTGTTCTTGGGGTCAAAGGCAGCATCCCTCCTCCTCCTCCAAACACGGCGAGTTGAGTTGATGCCAAAGAGCTCCATTTTGGTCTCATCTGACCACAACACTTTCACCCAGTTGTCCTCTGAATCATTCAGATGTTCATTGGCAAACTTCAAACGGGCATGTATATGTGCTTTCTTGAGCAGGGGGACCTTGCGGGCGCTGCAGGATTTCAGTCCTTCACGGTGTAGTGTGTTACCAATTGTTTTCTTGGTGACTATGGTCCCAGCTGCCTTGAGATCATTGACAAGATCCTCCCGTGTAGTTCTGGGCTGATTCATCACCGTTCTCATGATCATTGCAACTCCACGAGGTGAGATCTTGCATGCAGCCCCAGGCCGAGGAAGATTGACAGAACTTTGTGTTTCTTCCATTTGCGAATAATCGCACCAACTGTTGTCATCTTCTCACCAAGCTGCTTGGCAATGGTCTTGTAGCCCATTCCAGCCTTGTGTAGGTCTACAATCTTGTCCCTGACATCCTTGGAGAGCTCTTTGGTCTCGGCCATGGTGGAGAGTTTGGAATCTGATTGATTGTTTCTGTGGACAGGTGTCTTTTATATAGGTAACCAGCTGAGATTAGGAGCACTCCCTTTAAGAGTGTGCTCCTAATCTCAGCTTGTTACCTGTATAAAATATACCTGGGAGCCAGAAATCTTTCTGATTGAGAGGGGGGTCAAATACTTATTTCCCTCATTAAAATGCAAATCAATTTATAACATTTTTGACATGCGTTTTTCTGGATTTTTTTGTTGTTATTCTGTCTCTCACTGTTCAAATAAACCTACCATTAAAATTATAGACTGATCATTTCTTTGTCAGTGGGCAAAAGTACAAAATCAGCAGGGGATCAAATACTTTTTTCCCTCACTGTACTTGATCTTCCATTTTTGGCGAAAGTATCCACGCCTTCTTGGTGTTGTTCTGCTTCGCCTGATATTTGGACACGTTGCCATGATATGACAATTGCCCTGATATCAGTTTCGCATCACTTTTGTGATGGTGTTATTAATCTGTATTGTTTTGTTTTTATGCTTTGCTGAACTTCTTCAACAGCATTCCATTAATCGTAAGCTTGCCGTAAGTCTTACAATCATTTTATCTTGTTCGATATACATTGCTTATAATGCACATGTTGCCAACTACACCGTAAATAGATGAACAAAGGATAGCGTCAGATTACTGCCAAGCAACCATTTACTCTACAGAATGTTTCTTTGCGCACTTTCCACACAGACATAATACAAAATGCATAATTGCTTTAGTCGTCAAAGTGTTCTGAAATGCTGCCATCGTTGAATGCTTTATTTTGAAGACGTTGTTTTTGGTGCCGAGTGGATGTATAAACACTTACGCGTTCTCCCTTCTGCCCACGGTCTCCCTTCCCTCCAAGCTGGCCCTGTACAAGAAAATGCGCACGTAAGTGGAAATCCGTTCTGTATCTACCACGTAAAAGTATATCTTAGCTTTTGGGCCTATTGGATTTTAGATCAGTATTATCCAGGTGCAGCATGTATTTCAGTAAGCAAATCTTTGAACATGTTTTAGTTTTCTGAGTCTCATCAGGCTTGTTAAAATAAATACTGTTGGGTTAACAGATGTTATTGGCAAGAGCTCTCCATCTAAGCAATGGGGGCCTTTTCTGTATAAGAAAAATAGAGATCCATGAGACTCGCTAAACCTCAAGAATCTTTTTCAGAATGATCCATTACTGGGATATTTGTCCAAGTTTACTCATGAGTATATTTTACATCGAACAAAACCAGAGAACCCTGAAAAAAAAGGATGACACTCAAAGTTCCACACAAATGTGGTCCTCGGACACGCTTGCTGTACTGACATCTCCTGGCCACCTCCCAGCACCCCTTTCCTCCAAAGTGCTGGTTTACGAGCATTCACCACCGCATGTATGTATCTATGTTGAACTTATTTCGCACCGTAAGTAGCCAATCGTACTAATCGGAGGTGTGGGGGAAGAACAACAAACTAAATACAAAAAGCAATTCTCAACAAATTCATTTTAAATCTAGATTTAAAAGTGCATAGCTCCAGTCACTCCCTAAAATCGGAAGGAAGAGCATTCCAGACGGCTGAAGAAGCGCACCTGAAAGCGGGCAATGCGGTGGCCACCTTTGTTCGATGGATAGCCAAGCGTGGAAGCCGAGCCGTATTTCTCAATGCGCCCGATGTATGTATGTTGAACTTATGAGTGATGGTATGAAACCTGTACACCTGTAACCATATTACAGGTTACAGGTTTCATACCATCGCGTCGCTTACGGTTTGATTACAAACGACAACACTCTGCTTATTCCCACCACGCTTTCAATCTCCCGCGTTCACACTCACCTCTCTACCCGGCTCCCCAGCTCTCCCCACAGGTCCCTTAAAAGAGAGAGCGAAACAAGCAGATTAACACACATTTTACTTTGAAAGCATAGTCGCTGCCCGCCCTCGCCTCCCCCCACACATCGCCCACTTCTCCCCACAGTTTATTTCTTTAGCGGCAAACTAATAGAAATGCAGACTGCGTACACAGCCTTTGATTGCGATACCATAATTATGGGGCAATTTTATCAGGCACTAAAATGGGCCTCCCACCATAGGCCCCGGAGGTCCTCGTGATCCTGGGAATCCAACGTCTCCCACGGAGCCCTGGTCTCCCTTCGCGCCCTGGTTAGAGAAGAGGGGCAGAGAGAGAGAGGTCACCACAATCAACAGCGTCTACCCCGACGTCATGTAAAAAAAAGATTCGTTATTTACTCTCAATGTTAACCCAATTGTGCTATCGGCGTCACGCCACGACATGAAGAATCCACTCAAATCGCTCGCAGAGAAGTGGCGTCGTTTGTGTAAAAGGGCAAAGGCCCCACGGAAGCAGATATCGCGGAGCTACCTCTGAGATTCCTTCAAGGGACCACAGGTCCGCACAGTAGAAGGCAGCACTTTCCCACCCGCTCTGCATATGATAGTAATGTTTGTCACATGGTAGTCAAAGCGATATAGCCTCACAGCTGGCATTTGTCTGAATTAAGTGCAAAACCAAATTTAATCTGAGTTTTCTTTCGTGCAATAATTGGTAACCGGGCTAAGACCATCACCTAACTACACTTAATAACCATTTTTATTCACAAGCAGATGCCTGAGTGCTATGACCCCTAGATAATCCAGCCCACTAATTTTACATATTTCATGAAGACATCATCTAATATGACCACTGATCCATCCGAACCCCTGCCAATATCGCATTATAACTGACCTGCAAATAGTTGCTCACAGGGTCTGCATGACTGTTAGCAATGTACGGCTATGTATACGTTAATTTTATTTTAATTCGAGCTGATATTTAGTTGACCAATATTTTTTCTGTCATGAATCCAGGGCCCCTTGAATTGCTTTGAGCCCAAAGCATTAGCTCAGTTTGCTTGGGCCTAGCACCGCCACTGGTGGGCAGCACTCACAGCTTCTCCTGGAAGTCCTCGGAGGCCGTGATGCCCTGGAGGTCCCAGGCGACCCTAGCGCAGGCAAGCGGGAGGAAACAAAGAAGACACAGGGAAGGTTAACGGGTCAACTGGGACACAGTGAAAGCTCCATCACATACAGCCAGTGGGAATGGTCGTCGGGGCCATGTTAATGCAGGGCCTTCAGGGGCCGTAGTTCAGGGCCTTTAATTTTGAGGGACCTCCCAAAAATCTTAATCCCAATTTATAGCAGCAGAAACGCAATATTACATTTCTCTGATAAATCCTAAAGGTAATCTGGTAACAAAAGCCATATAATCACCGTGTGCATTACTACCAATAATTTGCCAAACATTTAAATAGTTTTATTCGTTTAAAATTAGTATTAAAATTCTAATATTGGAACTGAAATAACGCAGTTGAATAGTAGTGGAGGGTTTTGCATCATTGGGCATGGGTAGTGGTAAAACATTGAAGGGAAAGATCTGAATAGACGAGGAGGAGGCCCTGATATCACAACAATGTACCACGCGAGCAAATCATTTGACGTGATTTGCGTCAACTTCAAATCGTCAAGTTTGACGCCTGCAATGAAACGCATGTATCATCGAGCGGTGCGCCCAGCTAAACATTTCGCTGGAAGCAAATTAGTGCTGATAACTTCGGACAATAATTTCTGATGTGTTAATAATTTTATTCTGGATTATAAAAAAGCGACAGAAAGGGCCGAATTCCTATTTGCGCCCTCCCCCCCCTCCCCCCCCCCCCCCCCAGTGTGCCGTGAGAGGTAAATGTCATCTTCTAGTCGATGGGTGCATCACTACGCGCCCAATCACACGAGTGGAACAACATCGTGGCCACCACATCCAGCACCACTACCAACTGTGTGCGTACAGTATACACGCTGCGTGGGGCGGGACGCCGGTCGTATTTCAAAGGGTGGCTGCTGTTGTGTTGTACTGCACTCACCGGTTCTCCGATGGGCCCCGGGGGTCCCTGTGGCCCAGGGAGACCTGGGCTCCCCTGGGAGATAAAGTCCAAGAATTAACAAGAAATTACGTGCAGTGTCAAAAATATAATAAAAAGATAGATTGGTTTATAGCCTTGGCAACTCATTACCCTGGCTATAAACGCGCAGAAAGATGTTGAAGTCAGTTCAGTTTCCTTTGTCTGACCAGGTAGGGGCCCAATGAGGCTGAAAGTTTAATTTGCACAGGTATAGGTGCTCGTGGAGGTGCGGGCGTTGGGGGAACTCACGTCAATCCCTTGAATGCCATCCCTCCCGGGGAGCCCAGACGGGCCCTTTTCACCCTGGGACACACGGGAAATGTTCTGGTTCTGTAATTACTGCTTACACACGCGCAGCACCACAATCATCATGGGCCACAATCGATCCACTGCTTATGCAGCATCATCATCACCATCATCATGGGCCACAATCGATCCACTGCTTATGCAGCATCATCATCACCATCATCATGGGCCACAATCGATCCACTGGTTGAATGAAGGCCTCTCCAAGCAGTTTCAATCTCCCACGGTCTTGCGATGTGAATTTACATCCATCGCCCGCGCACAAGCTTCAGTTCGTTGCTCTACCTCCACGGGACACATGCTTCCCTCCTTTGGCTGCCGCTCCATGCTCAGTCTCGACCGCCGGCTATCGTCCCTTCTAAGGGACTTGCCCTGCCCAAGCCCAGTTACTTTTCCCGCCGTTCGATACATTGCGACAAAAATCACACTGAACGTGGTGGATCCCGCCAGGTCTCTGGAGCAAAGCAAAATGTTGACTTTAGTTCGTAGTGGATGTAAGGCGTTATCGTCTTGGGCTGCGAGGTGCCCAGAAGGTGGCAGTGCACCAGTGGTTGCCTGATTTCTTCCCACAAGCCAAACACTTGTTCAGGAGAGGCAGACCTCTCCTGAACAAGAGTTCTGAGGCTTCCCTAGACAACCGAAAGGAATTAATATTATTTGCAATTATAATTAATGTGACAAGTGCTGATATACCTTTGGCCCAGGTGGACCTGGTTCTCCAGTAAATCCTTTAAAACCCTACACACACACAGAACACAGAGATTCCCTGTTTAGCCTGCATAGACTGTTGGGGTAAGCACTGTTAGCAAGCACCTATTGCGGCCGGAACAGCGCACGAGAGGGTGGTGTGGCCAGCACCATAGCCACTTGACTTCGTTTCTCCAGTGCTGATGTTTACACACCAATCAAATTACTCATTGAAGGCTCAGTTGACCTAGGAGAGGCCCAGGACAGGTTCCGATACCACTTGCAACTGGCGTTATTAATATCTGACCAAATTTTGTTATCTCCATTCGCCTAAATGCAACATGAGCATGTCAGCGACATCAATAGAAAGAGATAACTTCTTACACGTGATTTGATGCGCAAAAGCAATGATATCAGTCAAAATTTCCTACTTTCATGTGGCATATGAAAATAAACTGATAAACCGTGTGTTACATTTGGTAATGCACTCAGAAGTAGCTTGATGCATCGTGTCCGCACCTCTTGTGTACGTGTGTAAATGGCAGTGGTCGGGTACGTGATGGACAGACCGCACTTCACCACATTCACGACAGACAGGGGCGACTCTTTCCTTTTCCCTTTGTGAACAAAATATCCGCCTGCCGTGCGTAGTTCAAAGGTCAATAAGAGCAGCCCGGTCGCATTCTACGCAAGCTGAAAGCAGCTAATTCCCACGTCGGAATTACCAATGAATCAATATATTGTTACGCCCATAAAAATATATATAAAGTATCCCTGCCCACAACACTGGATCAAAGTGCATGGGTGAAAGCAATGCATCTATGATGAAGTAAGATGCGAGAAAAACAAGCGGGCAGACAGGAGAGTGTTGTAGGGAGGCCAGACAGAACGGGATCATGTTTCACAATTACCATGTTCCCCTCTACTCCATCGAATGCCACCAGACCCGGCTCCCCCTTCATGCCCTGATCAACAACAACAACACCGGCAAAATATTTTAGCTTCAACACATATATAACACACCAAAGCAATTACATTTTCAAAGTGAAACAAAATAAAAAATTATTAGCAATCAATATATTTGGCTTAATTTTTCTCGAACAGCGTGTGAAAGCAAAAAATATTGTCACGAAAACGTTATCATCATCATTAGCCATGATTAATCCACTGCTGGATGGAGGCCTCCTCAAGACATTGCCATTTCTCACCATCCTGCAGTGTAATAATCTAGCGAGTGGCTGCAAATGAGCTGATTTAATAGCTCACAAATTACACATAAAGTCAAAATACTTATGTTACTCTCAATGCTAATTTGTGCAAACAGATCAGTATTTGTCCATTGATATATCGGTAACGTTACAAGCTCCACTTCATTGAAGTCAAACGTCGACATTAGCGCCGTGTCAACGTCAGATTGCCGGTTTGCGGTCTGGACTCGAGGGCCTAACCTTTTCACCAGATTGTCCATCTCTGCCGTTCCTTCCATCCACCCCAGGCAGGCCCTACAACAACAAGACAACCACAGGAATTGAAAACCAAGCATTCACAAAAATAGCTTGGAGTTGTTGAGTGAAATTGTTTTCACTCTCAATTGAAAACAAATATTAAGCACCCCTCTTTGAAAAACGCTTTTAAGACTCTTTGCTCAGAGAAACAATTACAACTTTGAACATGCCGCTGATGTCTGCAAGGCGTCTTACCGAACACGATCCCTGAAACGTGTAGCTGCCCCTCCGATGCCCCGTGAAGAGCGATTTTTTAAAGAATGCCTGCTTGCTGATTTTTTTTAGCTTGTAAAGGTCACATTCTTGAATGAGCCTGTGAACCTTCTTTGTGACATTATCCAAAATATCCAGACACCGCCGGTTCTAGCTCCAAGGTGAGTTGATTGCGAGGTCGCGTGTGGTGGTGCAAGTTTGGATAGTCCCACCTTTTCTAAAATGTCTGGCAGAGCATGGAGGAGAAGGCCAACTACACTGTTATACTAAAGCTCGCTGCTGAGTCTGCCAGGGAAAGCGATAAGTGGCAGCTATCAGAAGAAGCAAATCAAGCATTAGTGTGTGTAAATTAAAATAATGCGAGCGGCATTAAAGACTCACAGGTGGTCCTGGCAGGCCCATAGGACCGGGAAGCCCAGCCTCTCCTGGCTCTCCCTAGACAAGGCCCAACCACCATAGTCAAATAATTCAGTGAAATCACACACGGAGACAGGCACAGATAAGGGCAGAGATCCACTGTTTAGCCTTAATATTGGGTGCATTAATATCTATGTTCTAAGTACAAAAATCTACTTTGGCGGTTACTTGCAAAAATGGTGGCCGCTTTGTTGAATAAAGTTACACTCCCTGCAGTGCTTTAGCGTGCACTCAAACTAAACAAATACTCCTCGAGGCTTCGGCCCGCCTGCGCTTGCCAGCCGTGGATCTCTCCGCGCCACTCGAGTAACAAAACGCACGCAGCCTGGGTTTTTTCTCGTGGTTCGACACGGAATAAATGAGCCTTTTCACTCCGCGAAAAACACCATTGCATTCTTTCTTCAGCGGCACAGTCCGGAGCAGCAAGTGGCGCCGTGCGTTTTACGGCCTCCCTAGCTTCGTGGTGTTTTCTGCCCTAAGCAGCCTCTTTTCACTGGAAGCAACGGTCACGTCAATATTTAGAGATTTTTTTTAATTGTACATATTTTACCGGACAGACCGGGCCGCGTAATGTCTCACCTTTATGCCGGGCGGGCCTCTTAATCCTGGGGAACCGACTTCTCCAAGCATTCCCTGCAGGTAGAGACAAGCAGCCATTGCAATGTTTTATGATGATTATTATTATGATACATGGGTCTGCCAATCCACTGCTGGATGACGGGTCTCCCCATGCTGTGTCGGTTATGGGGGCTGTTTGGCCATTCTTCAACAAGCTGGGCAGTGCTGTGAGGTTAAGATGGGGAGCACAGGACTGATTTAGATATCGCATGCCACGGATGCTCACCATGGCTTTGAATCTAACTCAGGTTCTGGTTCATGGTGCAGTGCGCTATCCACTATGCCACCGCTCCGTCCCATTGTAATACTATACTTATCCCTAACAGTAATTATTAGTTCACCCAGGAAAGCTTCACTGAATATGAAAAAAATATATAATAAGCTGCAGCTTCTTCGGTCAATGGCAGGACCCCCCTGACAAAGAGTCTTGAGACTCCGTGAGGCTTTCCTATGTAAACAACAAGCGTATTGAAAAAAAATATGCTCAGAGTCAGCAACAAAGATGGTCACAGCATCGCGCGCTTTCAGATACGCTTCTGCGGCCACCTGAAATGCTCTTCCTTCTGATATTAGGAAGCCACTGGAACTATGAACTTTTAAATATAGCTTGAAAACTAATTTTTTGAGAAATGTTTTTGTGTTTAGTTTGTTGTCCTTCCCCCACACCTGCAATTAGTACGGTTGGCTATGTACGGTACGAAAGAAGTTCAACATACATACAACAGTTGAAGCCAAAATAGCATTCACCGTCATTTGGATTTGTCACAATTCACCTGAAGCCACTACAAGCTGGGTAATGTTGACAACGGCATGCATAGGTCCAGATTCATGCTATCGAGGTCATGAAGCCAGCACTCTGTACGAGAAACATGTTTGGGAAATTACTTTATATATTTCTTACCAACAAAGAAGGAGATAATTGAGCAACCGGTTTCGAATTTAGAGGATGTCCTTTTGCCCGCTTCGTTGCGGGCAAAAACGTAATCGTTAAATGGAAAATAGTTCAGACTCAGACAAAGACGTCAAGGACCATTGAGCGAACAGCTCTTTTACAAGGACAACCACAGCCCAAGGCCATCAAGTTGTGTTTGATATGTTTACTCACTTGAGAACCGATGACGCTGGGCTCAGGAAAATACCCAGGTAACCCTGGGAGACCCTTTAGACGTTCACACACAGCACGCATGCAGACACACGCACACGCGCAAAAACACACACACAATCGCACAGACGCGCCCACATATACACAAGTACAATCACACCCAGGGCACACGCGCACACAAATGCACGCGCGTAACCAAGCCGAAACGCATATACGCCCGCGTGCACACGCACACATGCACACACGTGCACAGTCATTACCATTTGTAAAACTTCTAACTTTCCCATGATTACAAATGATCAATGTATACTGGGTAAGATAAGCTTGTACTTAACGTGTGTATGTAAGTATCATTTTTAATATATAACCTCTCTGTAAAACATGTCCAGTATATAAAAAGCCGCCCGCTCACTTTCAATGCCTTTGAAATAAAATAATAGCACAAGTAAAGGAAACATTTAATTATATTCCACTTCCTGGCACGCGAAATACACAATTGTTTTGTTTAAATAAAACTCACCCTTTCCCCTTTGTCACCTGCAGGGCCTGTCAACCCCCTCTCTCCTTTGCTGCCCTGAAATTATATAAGAATGATACAATTAATAAAAATGATTTACAGCCCTTGGTCAATCCACTGCTGGATGAAGGCCTCCCCATGCCGTGTCAGTCATGGGGGTTGTTTGACCATACTTCACCCCGCTGGTCGGTACACATTGGTGATATGGCGGGAGTCCAGGACCGGATGAAATCATCGCAAGCCACTGATGTTAGCCGTGACCGGAATTTCGTGGCATGAAAACGAGACCAACTATGCACCAAAAAATGATATTAGACAAATACATTCTCACTACCATGCTATTTGTATTAAGTGTTGATATTAAAGGTACTTCAACACGATATGCTGGTGGTGGTGGTTCTATTCTCTTATTGATCGTGACCACGTGCTCAGGAGCTAGATGCCAATGTCGAGGTCTCCTGGCCACGGGTGGGAGACAGCAGCCCTCTCGCGGTGGCCAGAGATGTATAGAATGACAATGATTATAATACCCATGATAATGATGGTAATGAAGATATGTTTACTAATGGACAATGAATACAATGTGGATGCTGATTTAGAAGATGAGTGTGATTATATGAAATATAGGAATAAGTTTTCCTCTTTCTGGAAATAAACCAGGTGTTAACGTGTTAAAACATCAAATAGATACCTTTTGCAAAGCATGTACTTGTGTACCACACGTGCCTGTGTTAAAACATGCAAACAAACGTGCTCTGATATATAATATATGCATATTCTTGGTTCTTTCAGTATAGTCACGTAGATACAAAAAAAATTGAAAATAATAATAGAGAAAAAAACCTACGACGTTTCGATCGCAACACAAGCGGTCTTCATCAGGCGGAGAAACTCATTGGCCTAGACTTGATGTCTTGCAAAAGGTACCTAGTTGGTGTTTGAACATCTTAACACCTGTTTCATGGCCAGAAAGGGAAAAAAAACATATTCTTATTTTTCATAATTGTGATACTGGCAAAAAGGTTCCCGTAGACTGCGATTCTGATCACCACCTTGACCCTCACCTTCATCCCATCCACTCCGGGGGTTCCGGCAGAACCTTGAGAACCAGCATCTCCCTAGAGACACCAATGTCCACGAAGACAGGGCGCAAAGTTACGTTTGGCCCTCGATGTGGACAACGTAACGATCGCATGTAAACGAAGCGTTTGGGCATTAAATGCGCGCGCACGTGTGTGTGTGTGCGCGTGTGCTACGGGAGCGATAGTGTAGCGGTTAGCATGCTGTGCCTATGGACCTGGCGACCAGGGCAGTGGCTGGGTTTGTACCGTGAAGCTCTGCAACGAGCATTGAACGTGCTGCCGCTGGGCCGCGTAACCGCGCTCTCACCTCTTGAGCCACCCGACGGCCTCAGGCACCATTTTCAATGATGTACGCGAACGTACGTGTACGTCATCCGACTCGAAATAAAATAATTTAAAAAAATAACTTTTTTGGTACCGAGGCTCCCACAAGGCCATGCGGGAGAGCCTTTGGTACAGTTTGGCGCCAGCTATCATAGAGTGCGGTTGTGTCGCTACAGTTCTCCGTGGTGAGTAAGTCTTTAAAAACAACAGCAATACGCATCTCTAAATCAAATTAAAGCTGGACCGCTTGTGCGTTCCGAGAATCAGCGGTGAACGGGACCCCCACCCTGCAAACTTGAAAGACGTCTCGGAATGGGAAAGGGTGAATGTGACCGTAGCTAACGCAGCGCTACAGAGTGTGACTGTGAGTGAGCGCTGTGGGGTAAGAGCGAGTCCCCACCTTCTCCCCGTCTCGTCCATCCTCACCAGGACTCCCCGTGGGGCCCTTATCTCCCTTGAGCCCGGGGAGACCTGGTGAGCCCTGGGCTCCTGTCAGGCAACTGCTGCACACGTTCTGCAAGCAGAGAAAACGCGGCACCACTACGTCATTCAACCGCAGTAGCGGGCAAAGAAAGATTAAGGTCAAGAGGTCACCTCGGTCAATGCGGTTGATGCTACCACACTTTGATATTGCTAAAGGTTTTGTATTGATAACTTCAAGACCATCTATGGACTCATGCCTGTCTACCTCTCCTCTTTCATCTCACTCTAGTCCCCTGCATGCACTCCTTCCTCTCATCTCATTCCACTCCCCTCCACGCACTCTCCGACTCCTCACCTCTCATCTCACTCTTGTCCCCTCCAAGCACTCTCCTACCTCTCCACTCTCCTCTCAATCGACTCCCTTCCACGCAATCTCTGCCCTCTCAATCTCACTCTGCCTCCCTCCCCATGCTCTCCCACCTTAAATATAAATGCATTTGCCGGTAGGACTAGGAGGACAGGGTTGGTAGGGGGTACACAACAATAAAGAGGTTGGGAACCACTGCGCTAGAGAACAGCGAGGCTGCTGCTGCTGCTGAGTCGTACCTTGAGCAGGTTTCCCATCTCCCCTTGCGAGATCAAAGGCAGGGGTGCCTGGGAAATGAAAGAGCACGCGTTCCGCCGTTAAGGGCCACATCGTTAAGGATTAATAGTCCACAGCCGCACTACTGCTGTGGCTTGTGTCTTTACTTTTAGATTTACGAAGGAGGTGCGCGCATGGCCTGTTGGTGTTCTGACGATGCGGTTGATGGTTACGCCACCGGTGCCTTCGAGCGGGAACGTCAGAGTCAGTCAGGGTGCGATGTGTGCGTCTCAAATGAGACGCTTATTCCGGACGTCCACATTGTTCCACTCGTCGTAATTGTTGACTAAAATGAAACAAACACTTTGTTGATGAATATTTCCCCCCCCCCCCCTAATTTCGTTAACAGACTTGACACTGGTCTACGGGATACTTACCGGCTTGCCAGGGGGGCCCTGGATTCCTGGTCTTCCATCCTTCCCAGGGTCTCCCTGTGGGGACGTGAGATTACAAATACAAACATACCTCAAGGAAATGTGTACCAAATATGAGTGTTATGGGCATGATGAGGATGATACAATTGATGCAAGTGATGATGATGGTGTGAAAAATGATGGTGATGATATCATTATACGAACCATGGTCATGCTAACCATGACGTCGTTAAACTGATATAATCGTGATGATGATGGTGATGATTATGGTGATGATGACGATGGTGATGATAAGTAATTACGGTGTCATCTACTCACATCTTTTCCAGGGATTCCTTGAAGGCCTGGGAATCCTGGAGCTCCTTTTGGACCCTAGGCCAACAAAACAGGTTACTATTGACCCAAACTACTTAACATTGTACGCAAGCTGTCCTTCCCCCACACTTTTGATTAGCATGGTTGGCTATGTACGGTGCGAAAGAAGTTCAACATACATACACGCACAAAGACAAAGATCCCCCATATAGCCTTAACAGACTGTTAACTGATCCAAAAAGACAAAGGTCCTCCGTATAGCCATAACAGACTGTTAACTGATCCATGAATACAAAGATCCCCCATACAGCCTTAACAGACCGTTAACTGATACACAAAGACAAAGATCCCTCTTATAACCTTAACAGACTGTTACCTGACACACACACGTATATGCAACTTTATACAAAGTAAAGATGACGGCGATGAAGCAGCAACGGTTACCTGAGGCCCTCTCTCGCCAGCGGTCCCCTGAGGTCCCTTGAAACGATCAACAATCGACTGTCATTTAGGCATTTAGCACCATAACGGGAGAGCAATTAGGGAAGACAAACACCGCTCAATGCGGTGAGACGGTGGTGGCCCAGATAATTGTGGGGAACGAACGGGTGGCCAGTTCTTTGAAGAAGGGCCATTGTCTGAACCCTCGCCTGTTATATATATATGTAAAAAGCAAATAATTTGAAGGCCACGGTGTTATCGACGAATGTGTCGAGTTCAAATGTTGTTTACACATGTGTACATTTCCCATACAAGTATGTGCAGAATGCCATTCGATAATGATTAAAACTTTACTTATACATTCTTATAAGTAATTTTTTAGGTGCCAAAACGTGTAGAATGCAATTGACATTTATTTTGAAATAATGCAGAAACAATAAATCCATTAAATGGTGCATTTAACGTGAGCACAAAAAAAACCCTTCCACCTCCAATATTAACCACGTTTTATGTGCACAAACAGCCAGTCTAAGTCCTCATCGTGGAATCGCACAGAAGTCCCCTTATTAACTTTGCGAAAGACTTGTGTTTTACTTGTAGTTGAGGAAGTGAAAAGGATAGGCTGATGAGTGGGTTTCATCTCCATATCCGTTTATATTTGACGTTGGGGTTTTCTTGCAGTGACATTGGGGTTATCTGAACACATTTTGTACAGCAGATCGTGAAGAGTTAATGACCCGGTTTATGTATATATGTATGTTGAACTTCTTTCGCACCGTACGCAGCCAACCGTGCTAATCAGAGGTGCGGTGGTTTAACCACAGGTAGATGAAAATCTGGATTCGAACCCAGGACCTCAGTATTGCCATCTGAGTGCTCGAAGTGTTCTGACCGCTAGGTCACCCAGGCACCTCATTAGCATATTCCATTAAGTCGTCAAATTAATATGCCGGTGTAAACCTGGGTCAATGGGGGTTTATTTGTGATCGTGCATTGGCTTTGAGTGGGGTCATACCTGAGGACCTGGAACACCTATACCAGGCTGACCTTTCTCCCCTGGGGGACCCGGATTTCCAGAAAACCCTCGCTCACCCTGGCACAAAGACAAAGATCACCCGTGTAGCTTTAACAGACTGTTGGGGCAAGTGGCGTTAGCGAGCAGCACCTATGAAGGCCTGGCACGGCTCATGAGGGGGTGGGTGATCAGCACCACACCCGGCCGCCTTTGTCTCCCCAGTGGCGTTGTTTACAAACCGCATTAAGTACTCGTTTTGAGGCTGAGTCGAGCTACGGGAGACCCGGGACCGGTTCAGATAATCGTCACTGGTGTTGGCCGTCAGCGGGAATCGAACTCGATTCTCGCCGGATTCGTAGCACAGCGCATTAACCGTTGCCCTACCGTTCCACACTTGCCCTGACAAACACAAACACACGCAAGACAAAGATCATTTGTATACTCTTTGGTTCTATTCGGTAAAGTCACGTAAAAAACAACAAAAAATAAAAATAAAAAATTCATCAAAAAATAAAAAATTCATCAGGTGAAGGCCACTTGTGTTGTGGCCGAAACGTCGTTAATTTTTTTTTGTTTTTTTACGTGACTTTACCGAATAGAACCAAAGAGTATGGATCCTTGCAGTCACGAAAGCTTTAAATCTAGAATCATTTGTATAGCCGTAGAGACGAGCAAATAACAAGGTGGTGTAGCCAACGACATGTTGAGCCACGTTTGTCTCCCCAGTCCTGGAATAAAACCTAGGTACCACTACCAAGGTGCAACACACTAATCACTTGACCACCGCACGCACCCGTACAAAGACAAAGGCAGTGATCCACCGATATAGCCTTTACCACAAAGTTGGGGCAAGTGGTGTTAGTGAGCTCCTACGAAGGCTGCCACAGTCACATGGTGAGGTGGTGCGGCCATCAAACATGTCCGTCCACCTTTGTATCCCCAGTGCTGACATTCACACGGTGCTTACTCAACCGCCGCAACCCATTGCGCACATTCACAGACACCGGCGCAAGAGGATGGTGTGGCCAGGAACCAAACCCGGCACACACCTGTCCCCCCAGTGCAGATGTGTACACGTTGCCCCAGATACTCAACTAAAGATTACTCGGACCTTCGGGAGGCCCAGGACCAGTTCAGTTTAACTCTTCACCACTGTTTATTGGTCACGAGCAGGAATCGAACTCGGGTCGTTTTGTTCGTAGTACAATGCACTAACCATTATGCCACCGTTCACCACATGCAAGTGAACACACACACACACACTTACTATTACACAAACAAGGACACAAATTGAACATTCATTACAGTTTTGTGTAGCAGTTTTTTTTTTTAATAAAAATGTTGATGCCCGTGCACTTCAACAATTGCCATGTATTGAGAGTCCTACCTTGGGGCCTTGCGGGCCTGTTGGACCTGCTTGGCCTCTCTCCCCCTAGGAAAGAGTTTAAAAAACAGTGAATATGAAAGCGCACAGCCGTCCAATGCAAACTGATCCACCCGCAAAGTGAATACAGTTATACGCAATACAAGTAACACTTTCATCGCTTTTGAAACAAGCGTTGTAATCATATGTTATCGTAGCAGTTCATCAAGACAGACACGTAACTGCTTTAATTAAACTTGTATGTGTTGTTACCTGAGATTTGCCTAAATTGATCACACTTATCATATACTTAATAAATGATGTGAAGAATATAGCTTTAAGGGAAAATTTGACTTATTTGCGCTGCAAAGAGTAACTTTTGAACGCTTGTTAGAAAATCATCTGTAGTGGTGACGGCACTGACAGAAAGGCCTTACCAGTTTGCCAGGGAGACCGAGGCCTAGGGGGCCCTGTAGGCCGGGAGGGCCTGGCAGACCACGAGGTCCAAGAGGGCCCGTGGCTCCCTCGACACCAGGAACGCCCTGAGGGGCACGCACGCCAACACACACAATGAGCACACAGACACGCATCAAGGACACAAACCCCCGTGAAGCCTTTAACAGATAGTTGGGGTGAGTGCTGTTGGCGAGCGCCCATAAAGCCCACGACCGTGCCTGGGCACCTCTATTTCCCCAGCTCTAATGTTTACACATCGAAACCAGGCACTCCTTTAAGGATGAATTTACCTGGGAAATAGCTACGAACGGTGTATATATCACTCGCCACTGATGTTAGTCGTGGGTGGAAAATTTTACCCAGGCCATTGGGTTCATAGCACAGTGCACCAACCACTTTGCCACACACACATACATATACACACCAACTCACACGTCAACTCAAACACCAACAATAACCGCCACTCGTCAGTCACTCAGTGGCGGCGACATTACCGCAACACTTGTGTCAGGCTAGGTTGCACTTTGAGGTGACGCGTAGCGGCCAAATCAACTGGCAGAAGGTCAAAGAGCAGACCCGGGTGTTATGGGTTGCTTTGATTGGGTGACTGAGAGTGGCACTCTTAACAATATCTGCTATGTCCCCTTACTCAATAAATGTCACCAAATGCTCTATTTTAGCCCTCACCACACACACACACCATTGTCACTGTGTGGAGTGCAAAGAACTGTTTAACACGTACACTTTCGCGACGAATATCATTCATATTAGAGGTTTTTTGGGTTAGATCGCGTAAATATATAAATGTGTCGTTTAAACCCTGCCACCACCCGACACAGCCAACTAGTAAGGGTTGTTACGTAAACAGAATATGCCAATTCGTCACTAGTACAGCACACCGGTGTGTTGGAGAGTCAAGCCACAACATTTACAATCTGAAACTGCCCAAGTAATTAAAACTCTATTATGCAAAGAACTGTGTTGGTGGTTCACATTTTATAACCATAAGCTTTAAGAGGAGCAAATATTGAAGACAAATATTGTTGTACTTTTGAGAACTTATTCACGGTTTATATTCCGACCAACAAATGTACAGGTCAGAAGTGTATAATGTGTGCAATCGTTTACCAATTTTTTTTTTCATATTATACTCCGTTTCCACTCTGCCACTCACCCTTTCGCCTTTTGCCCCAGGTTTTGCCTGCATTCCCATTGGCCCAGGCAGACCCTTCACGCAAAGAAACAAAATCAAAACAGATGCAGAGCGATATGGACACAGATTAGGCGCGGCTTCCTTTCAGACCAACTTGTTTCGCATTTCCTTGTGAATGATATTCAATTTCATTTTGGGTTGCCACCTCTGAGGTACCAAAAGAAGAATATTTCGCCACACCCCCTGGTACCTCCGATTAGCGCATTTGGCTACGTACAGTGGTGAACTACCTTGTGAACGCGTCATCTTGAGTGGTGCATTGTTGTCGTTATGATTCATATTATCATGCAACTGACAAAAACTCGGACTTGTAATGTCCTGGGAATACATACATATTTTCTGGACAGCTGCCTCGACAAAAGGATGATCATGGGGAAACCAGGACAGGTAGCAACCCAAAATTCATGAACATTTCCCACATCCAGGTAAGGAGAGGCTTGTGGACTACTTGTCAACTCTTTTTTTGTCATTTTTTACTTTAAAAATATATATATACGACGACGACGATGATGTTAAGGAATGAAAACAAGATCAAAATAAGTTATGGTGCGGTTTAACGTATTCGGGAAACGTACAGGCACACCGGGCAGTCCTGTGGGTCCTTGCGATCCCAGAGGCCCAGGTGGTCCCTGCAAAAGGAAAACCGTCAGCTGATTTGAATTTGAAGCCACGAAACGAGGCATCGATTTCATCGACTAAAAGCGATTCTTACACACAAACACTTATAGAATTGTACGTATTGTCATCAATTAAATTTTGATTTAAAGCTTTCGTGACTGCAGTAATTCATATTCTTAGTTTTTTCGGTAAAGTCACGTTGAAGAGAAACAACAAAATAATAAAATATATATTTTATTATCTTTTTCTTATTTTGTTGTTTCTCTTCACGTGACTTTACCGAAAAAACTAAGAATATTGTCATCAATTGTTGACGGTGTATTCAAGTTATAAGCACACTATATGCTCACTTTAAATTGGGGCTAATAAAGAGATCAAAATGGTACATACGTGCTAATTTTTTGTATATAATGATACAGCACAAACGAGGAGACAAAAAACAATTGGTTCCTGAATCGAATCGTGACCCTAAATTGTGACAATTCAATGAAATGCCGATGCCGGAGGTTAAAACTATGGAACAAGTGGAATCCTGCGCCCATTGCTGTACATACAAACATGTCAAACTCTTCCCAGTGATTATGTAACGATGACATATGGCAGGACAGGAAGTGGGTTCTTGAGCACCCATGTATGGAGAACGTTGAGTGCTACCCTAACCATAAAAAAACCACTGCTTTCCTCCCAAATTGAATACCCTCCTGAAAAAAAAATCTGTCAATAATCTCAATCATGATCCTCCTGAAGAAGTATTTTAAGGCTCAGTGGAAAGAGGGACATTATCATTATTATGACTATCACGGGTTATATTTTTGTTGCAATTGATATATGAAAACACTTTAGAGTGCCGGTTCAAGATGCACTTACGTCTCGTCCAGTAATCCCAGTGGGACCGGTCTCTCCTTTCTCTCCCTGTGTAAGCGCACACAGAGACACAGAGGCACACAAAAGGATCCCAACGGAGGGTTCAACGTAACTGCGCTCACAAGGAGAAGGCATGCGCTTGACCGCAATCGGGAGAAGATCGAGAGAAAAGGCTCAATTTAAACTCCTTAATTGAAGCAACCGCGCTTTTGTCATCACGATCAGAAACATCATTCATGCCACAACTGAAAACAGTTACCTAAGCTTTATTTAGCACAATATATGTACGGTATGTATATCTTATGGGACCTTTTTGCCAATGTCAAAATTTTGAAAGGATAAGTCTTTACCCTTTCTGGCAAGAACGCAGGTGTTAATTTGTTCTAACACCAAATAGACACCTATTGTAAGGCAAACAAGATGCCTATGCAGACATTATGCCTTGCAATAGGTGTATATTTGGTGTTAGAACATATTAACAGCTGTGTTATCGCTAGAAATGGTGAAACCTATTATTATTATTTTCATCATATGAATGTTTATTTATTTACTTAATACTTTAATATATATTTTTAAAAATTAAAGGTAGGCTACCTTCTGCCCGTCAGGTCCGAGAGGACCCGGATTGCCAGTTCTTCCTTGCGGACCCTGCAGGGAAAAATAAACAGCAGCGTCCTCTTCAACATCCAGAATGCGGGGGCCAGGGATCTGCAGCGTGAGTGTGGTGGCGCACGCCTGTGATCCAGAGCTTCGGAGGCAAGGGCAGCGTTGATCTTGCAGATTTGCGAAACTCCTAAACCCTTCTGGCTGAGCTGCGACGTGGTAGGGAAATAGCAGCGTGGCGAGTTAAGTCCGTGAAATTGCCTGCGCAGATTACTGGGTGCTATTCTCCCTTGTGCATGGGCTTTTCTCCAGCATGCATGTACGTATGTTGAACTTCTTTCGCACCGTACGTAGCCAACCATGCTAATCGGAGGTACGGGGGGAAGGACAACAAACTAAACACAAAAGGCAGTTCTAAACATAATGAGTTTTCAATCTAGGTACTCTGGTTTCATCCACGGGTACAATACTCGTTCATAGAATTGCCAAACAACCCAATGTAGGACCCTCCTGAAAGGAGTAATTGGCGTGACTATAGCTGTTGCAGCTTTATTTTTTGTTATCAAAGGAGACAGCAAAATGGCACACGTACATTTGAAATTGGATCCAATTGTAGTTTCTGTTTTCAGAATATTAAACAAATAGCAATCATAGTTTGTGATGCTTTGGCAAGATTTTAAAGAAAGCTGAGCAGTGATGCAATGGTTATAGCACTGCGCTATGAACCTGGCGACCCTCACGTTAGAATCCTGTTCGAATATAGCAGCACATCAAAAATCACTGCTATACTGGACTTCTATGCTACAAAATCTATGTTCCCAGCCTTCACAAACCTGTACCAGTGTGGTGGTATGGTAAAACACCGCCAATGCCTCACGCGGCGTGGGGGGAGTTCGCCTTCATCTAGCAGTGGAATGACAAGTACATTGCTCATTTTATTTTGATTGTTTGCTTTAAAAAGCAGTGGTTCTCACCCGAGGGCCCAGGTCTCCCACATCCCCTTTGCTTCCCTTTTGGCCCGGCTCTCCCTGCACCGAGACAGTCAAGGAACAAAAAGTACAATTTAAAAAAAACACAGCGACACAGAGTGAGCTGAGCGCGTAGGAAACCGATCTCCAGTGGTTTGGTGACCACATGAATGTGGCTGACGGGGTTAACGCTTCTTTTTGGGAACTTTTCACAGGAGCACGGAGAGGTGCAATGCATTAAACGACACCGAGAGACGGAGATGATGAACACGTGGACTAGGGCCCAATATGCACGATCGTGACATCGTCATGTTGACTGTCGAGGAGAGGGAGCGGGCTTGGGCAGGGGACGTCGCTGGAGGGATTGTGGTCGTTGGTCGAGACTGATGACGGAGTGGTGGCCAAATGAGAGAGAGAGAGCCATGCCCGCAAGGACCTGACAGGACGTCCGTCACGGAGGTGGGGCGATCAAAGGTGGAGCGATCAAAGGTTGGAGTGATGAAAATCAGCCCCATGCGCCAGGTGCTAGATGGATTGTTGAATTGCAGCACAGCGAGAGATGGCGATTGCTTGACGGCCTGCATTCAGTCGTGGATAGATCATGGCTGATGATGGTGATGACGATAATGGCTGACGCTCACAAGGACTGTGTTCCAATATTGAGCTTGAAGTTGAAATAAAATTTCCGGCAAGAAAAAAAACGATCGGAGGTTGAGAACCACGATTGTCGATTAAATTCATCACCTGAGGTCCCGGCTCCGTCGTTATCACACCCGTCGCTTGAGAACCCTGCTTCAAAAAAAGGTAAAAGTAATAGAGATTAATTACAGGGATATTTAATCAGTGCTACTGGCAAGCATTTGTAGCATGAAACGTATAGCACTAGAAGTTTCCGACAGAGGGGCATTGGAATGGTTGACATGAGATGTGATATAAGGTACTTTGAGGTGCCGAGGCATTTAAGCACCCTATACTCATCCTTGTAACCCACACCACATACTCACACACCACATATATCACACACATTATACCCCACCACACACACCGCCCCATCACCCCTAAATAGTAGACTAATGTCCACTGGCAGGCCGGCGGTGCATTCACCTCGTTGCCACACAGGGACAGCTGCCACTGGGAGTCCCCTTGGCTAGACGACTACAGCAGGACAATGGAATGGTTTAGATTATGAGATGTGATTCCAGTCGCTTTTAATGCGAAGGCATTCATTGCCCCGTAAATACAAAGGGGGCAGACTTTGTGCTGTATATATGTAAGTATGTTGAACTTCTCTCGCACCGTACGTAGCCAACCGTTCTCACCGGAGGTTCTATGGGAGACGGACATTTTAGCAGCTAGCTCTCCGCAAGTGTGGCATTCCCTCCCTGGATCCATTAGGGAATCTGAGTCTGTTACACTTTTCAAATCGCGTCTTAAATCTCGCCCGTTTTCAACGCAGGCTTCTCTCCGCCACTTAAGCTTTACGTAAAGCGCTTTGAGGCCACTGTGCGAATTGCGCTTCAGAAAACCGAGTTTGTCATGACTATGGGTATTAAATAGTTATCTTTCAACGCTGGAATGGTGATGATGTCACGTACAGCAGCGGGGAGGCCTGGTGGACCACGTGGGCCAGTGTCGCCCTGAGAAAAATAAACACACGCTCAAAATTAATGACGAAATAAACGAACGCATCAAAGACACGGCAAGCAAATTATTTAACACCACGGCCATGAACAAACTCAGCCGTACAAGTGATCTGCATTATGTATTAAAAAAAAACCCAGAAAAGTAGTTTGTTCATCCGTGTGTCGCTCGGTCAGTCACAGTGGTGACTTGAGACATATTTGTTTTCGTACAATGTCAGCTAAGGATGGTTACGACACAATTGTACTTACACGATCTAACCCAAAAACCTTTATTACGAATTCCTCGTCATTCTCCTCCTCACACGCGTTATTTACATTTTTATGAGATATCATTACCATCTTGGTTGATTTTTGCACGATTTGTGTGTACAGTATTTGTGTTTTATGTGAAAACACTTTTAGTCTATGCAATAAAACATGTAAAAACATCAATTAGATACCTTTTGCAAGGAATCTTGTATTCTAACTGTTCTGTAAAATATATTTTTGACTCTGTAACAAATATATATTTTATTTGAACTTTTATTCTGTAAATAAAACTAATGCACTTTATTTTTTGCATTGCACACTGGGACAAACGCTGGTCCGTCGGTTTCCAACCACAACGCCGCAACGTTGTTCCGACGTGCTATGTTTAAAGCGAGGTTACTAATAAACTCCGTGCCAGTCAATGGATTTCCATGTAGAGGTACGAGAACGTTCACAGTCTTAAATACCTGAGCCCACAATGGCAATAACCTGGCCGGTGTGCCTGAAACCGTCGATGCAATTGGCAATGCCGTCCGGAATGTCAGGATGTTGCAATGTGTTGACGTGAGGGAGGATGTGGAATTAAAAAAATATTATGTATTTTACAAAAAAATTACAAGACGTTCACTCGGCGTGTTCAAAAGAAAACGGATTTCAGTAATCTGAGTTTACCTTTCGCCAATCATACAAAACGGATTTTTTTCTGTTTTACAGCCACGATAGCCGTCGTGCGCTGCGTGAATCATGCGTTGAGATTCATAAACAGCGGTAGCGCGCCAATTAGAGCTTCGTGTGGTTGGATAGAATCCATCACGTGTGGTTCATTTTAACTCAATACTCATTCACTGCGACATAAATAATCGAATTTGTAAAATTATGACGGCTGAATATAAATGTCATCCTCTTCATCAGTAGGATATGGGGTTTTTTTGGAAAGACATCACATTTTGTGGGCGCTATGAACCCGGTGACCTGAGTTTTATTCCCAGCCATGGCTCACATCAGTGACGAGTGAAGTCTGAACTGGCCCTAGATTTCTCACCTCCCCCCTGCACCTTTTAAACAACCCACACTGACCGGCATGGTTAGCTATGCATAGCTATCAACCCATACGGTTTACCCGTATTCTTGAACAGGGAAAATGAGTTTTCAGGTTCATACGGTGTACAGCCCTTTCAATACGGGTAACAATTTATTTTGTCTGTTTGTGTTTCTCCATTGTGATGGGACTTTGTAGGATGAACGTTGAGATTTATAAGGGGTACGGGTTGACCAATGAGATCTGAATTGGTCTCTAATAAGGGGCCGTCCATAAATGACGTCACGCACCTGGGGGGGGGGGGGGGGGGGGGTCAGACATTTGTGACGATGTGTGACCAGGGGGGGAGGGGCGGTTTGAGAAATGTGACGTCACATAAAAATGCGCAACTTCAAGTAAACAATATAATTTAATTTTGATTTAAAGCTTTCGTGACTGCAGGGATTCATATTATTGGTTCTTTCGGTAACAACACTAATTTTTTATTCATTTTCATTATTAACTATTTGATTATTTAAATTTACTAAGGCCACCTTTTATTTATTCCATGAAGGAGCATTTTTCTTCTCCATGGGAGAATGGAGAAGCATACATTTTGTACATTTTTTGAAAGGTGCTCCCTAAACAGCACTTGTTCTGACAGTCTGCTAAAGGTTACGTGGGGGATCTCTGTCTTTGTGTGCACGTGTGTGTGTGTGTGTACGAGTATAAAAAGCAGCAGAAAACTCGATACACATACCCTGTCTCCTTTTTCACCTTTGAATCCAGCAGAGCCCGGGTTCCCTGTCTCACCCTGAAGGGGACACAGAGAGAGAAACCAGGTCAGGGTACACGGGGGAGAGGAACGTGTTGAGTTGTGGACCCAAGGAGCTTGGAGGGGCATTAATTAATCCCTGGCAGATAAATCCACGGCGAATTCGGCAACAACAAATAGGAAACAAATTAATCACAAAACGAGAGTCAACTTTACAGTCTGCCGTGCCATTCTGAGTGGAACTGCAGCTTGCAGGCTTATTCTGCGAGCTGCGAAAATATTATTGCGCAAAGCCACATAGATCAGCTTAACAACTCATAATCTCACGCAGCCGTGACACTGAAGCTCAGGGCGTGCTGCCCATGCTGTTAATGGTTAATTATCGCACTGCGCTTGCAATCCAAAATCCACCGGTTCGCTTTCCTGGCACGGCAGCGGAAACAAACGGGGGCAAGTTAGTCTCTTGATTCACCCCGACTGTCGGTGCGTGGTAGGGTAAAAGCGTGTGTACGCCACACACTTCGCACCTCCGATTAGCACGGTTGGCCTGCGTGCGGTGCAAAAGAAGTTCCACGTACACACAGACACACTCCCAAGATTTATGTCCAACGTGGAAGATGTAGGCCAAGTACCCTCTCTACAGGGGGCTCTACAGGGCTCCCTATTGTGGAGGCGCTTCAGCCAGCAGTGGTGAAAGCAAGCAATTGGAGGGCTGCGCCTTTACCTTTCCTACAGCCATGACCACACTGAGCCGAAGAAAGCAGAGTCGATGTTCTCTTGTTTTTTTTTAAAGCACGGCTCAATTACGTATGATGCAGCTTTTGCAACGTGTCTCTCTCTCTACGTTAATTCTGTGTTTGTGCCCCCCCCACCTCCCCCAAAAAGAGTTACCACCCCTGAGTTACGAAGAAAAACTCAAGCCATTAAATGGGAATAAGAATATCTAACAGGTACAGAAGAGGGGAGAACTACATGTAAATTCATTGTCTTCACTGGTATATCATCATCATTATTATTCAGCAAATAACACAAACTGAGACTTTTTACTACCTCAAAAGGAGGAAGGTCCCGGAAAAACCAGGGCAGGTGGCAACATTACCCCAAGCCCACCGGTTGAAAGGAACAAAATCAAAGGTCCAGAAACAAACCCTAAACTCGTACCTCCTCTCCTTTGTCCCCCTTTGGCCCCATGGGACCCAGTGGACCACCATCGCCAGGGTCTCCCTGCAGGCGACACGTCACAGGGGACATGGGAAAAGGACATTAGAATGAAGACACACAACAACACAAAGACACAGGGTTCCCCCTCTTATAGCCTCAGCACGCTGCTGGGGCAAATGCTGTTAGTAGCAAAGACCAATTAAGATTTGCCACGATATACGAGGAAGTGGTGGGGCTAATGCCATGTCTGCCGATTTTGTCTCTCCATTGCTGATTTTCTACTTGGCCGAGCCAAAATAATGGAGGCCCAGACTCAGTTCAGAAAGCACTCGACCTACATACCCATGTACATTAGACAAAGTCAAAGATCCCCCTATATCCATTGCCAGACTGTTGGGACAAGTGCTGTTAGCGAGCACCTATGAAGGCTGCAATAGCACACGAGGGGGTGGTGTGCCCAGCACCACGCCCGACCGCATTTGTCTCCTTAGTGGCGATGTTTACACATCGCATCAGGTACTCATTTGAGGCTGAGTCGACCTAGGCGAGGCCCAGAACTGGTTCAGATAATCGTCTCTGGTGTTGACCGTGGGGCGCGAATCGAACTCGGGTCGCTGGATTCGTATCGTAGCATGCTAACCCGCTACACTACCGATGTACGTAGGAAAATGTACACATAAATAGCAGGCTATGAAATGCAATTAGCTTATCCATAGAATCAGCATGAAGATCTACGTAGAAGCTTCATGCATTTTAACTATAAACACTGAAATAATGTAATTTCAATAAACATTTCTAAGAATAACATTTTTATAATTAATTCATGAAATCTTTACATTGTTAGCAAACAACAAAAACATTTTATTTTTTATTTTACTAGGTAAGGCCCATTGAGCTATATTGCTCTTTTTCAGAAGCGACCTGGCCCCAAATGATAGCTCAATTAAGGGGCTTATCACGTGGAAATGTACAGCAGCCAAATACTCTAAACGCGTGCTTCTAAATGCAGAGAGAAAAACCGGAGGACTCGGAGAAAAATCCACGCGACCACGGGGGAGAGAGACACGCTAAGCCCAAATACACAGCAGGCGTCAGGGTCGGGATCGAACCCACGACCCCTTGTATACCAGGCGAGGTAGTTAACATGTTAACATCTCGCCACTGTGGCATCATAACCACGTCACGTGTGAAGCCTAACCAGGTGTTTTGAATTGCACACACAGGTGTCGCGTAGGCGGGACCAACTGTTAAGAGTGCCGTGGTGCGAACTTTTATAAAGAGTCTGACCTTTTGTCCGGAAGGCCCTTGTATGCCAATCTCCCCAGGATCACCCTGGTAATGAAAATACGATAAACACGTGCATACAGGATTCCTGCCGTGATGATGCAACGGTTAGCGGCGACATCTGGACTTGCAATCCAGATGTGTCAGCTCCACGTGGTCTCCCGGCCCGGCAGTTGAACAACAATGGTGCAAGTTTGTTCAATTCTGCCACCACCCCCACCACCACCACCACTCCCACGCCCCGGCCACCTGCGGGCACCACAGTTAGTCAGTGGGAAGGTCACGTGTGGCGTTGGGTAAAGCGTGGGGTACTCCGGCCTCTTCCCCAGACGTCTGACCAGTGTTTCAAAGGTAGGCCAAACACCTTTATAAAATGATGCCAGCGGGGAAGAGTAGCCAAATATTATATCTAGAGAGGCTCTCCAGAGCTCCCTCTAGTTGGAGGCCCTTCCACTAGTAGGGGTGTGAGCAAGGCACATGCAGGGCTGCACCTTTACCTTACCCTCCATATATTAGCACGGTACGGTGGTAAAGAAGTTCAACATACAGTACATATATACTTGCTGCAGGACACTATTGCATTTGTTATTTAAACTGCTTTTCTCCCCAACAGATTCCTGTTGTGCTGTCAGCGGCATGTCATTCGATGAAGATGCAGATAGTTTCCATTTAGTACCATCACGCCGAACGATGCACCACCCTGAGTCAGAGAAAGGCATCAGAACATGATGTCACAGAACTACTTCTGAGGTGCCTTCGATACGCCTCTTTATCCACATTTCCGTACGCGATGTTGAACGTGTTCGACGCAGGGAAAGTCAAAAAATAAAAAAATAAAAATCGTCCTCAGAGCAGGAATGTGTAAAAATGAGAACATTCATTTAATGCGGTTTATTTATATTTTATTTTAGTCATTGATGACCAGGAAGATACCACCAAATCGGCTACAATTAGATTTCACAGTTTAAACACGGTTGGCCAGAACGCGAATTCGAACCCAGGATCTCAAAGATGCCAGCTCAGCGCTCTGTCAACTGCATTAGCTCTCCGGGTCACTCATTAATTGGCTGAAAAGACATTAATATATAAGAGAGATGCAGAGCTTAGGCGATTGTATGCACCGGCTCACGGCCTGGCTACTGCCTTCCAGCTTGTCTGTAGTTCGTCATCGATTGTGAGATGCAATTTGCATGAATGGCAACGCTGAATAACAACTATTTAAATATATATATAACTCAGCCACCTCAATGTGCACAGCTTTTCTCTTTAAAGAAACACTGTCTCAGTGTTTTCGGCATTCACCTTGAGGCCGGGGATGCCAGGATTCCCTTGGGAACCCGGTGGTCCACTGTCTCCCTGTGTCCCAAACAAAACGAACGCGCGAGCACACGCACGCACACACGCACACACACTCCTCATATTCGATTTACACTCAAACCATCAACCGCTCGCTCGCAGGCTACAGCAACTAAATAAATAAAAGCTCAGCAGAGAAAATCAACAGCTGGCAGAAAAACAAATAAACTGTTGTGATTTCACATTTGAAGAGGGAACAAAAATATATCCCCTAATACTTTCAAAGAGACGCAAAGGGAATGAGGGGTAATAACAGGGGCGGGGGTATGCACTGGGGGGGGGAGCATCTGAACTCTGCTATTACTGTCAGACCACGTTAGAAGTGTGAGATTAGCACGACAAGGATAAGCAGAAACGTTGTAAGTGCAATCAAGCTTGGGGGTGGGGGGAGGAAGCCTGTTAATTATCATTAGAGGATGTTTGCAGTGCCTTGTTGAAGTAAAATCTTGATTTGATGTTTTCGTGACTGCAGGAATCCATACTCTTTGGTTCTTTCGGTAAAGTCACGTAGGTAGAAAAATAATAATAAATCACGACGTTTCGATCGCAACACAAGCAATGGTCATCAGGTGGAAAGATACAGCAGTAGAACTGCTGAACAAGAAAGAGCTGTTGCTGCAACAAGAGGTTATATACAGGTTTGAGGTGGGCGTCACCCAAGGGTAAGTAGGCGGGGTCAGAGATGGATAACGCAGCTGCTGTGCGTGCGTGCGGCGACGAGACTCCTTTCCATCTCTGACTCCGCCTACTTACCCTTGGGTGACGCCCACCTCAAACCTCTACCTCTTCTTGCAGCAGCCCTTTCTTGTTCAGCAGTTCTACCGCTGGATCTTTCCACCTGATGACCATTGCTTGTGGTTGCGATCGAAACGTCGTGATTTTTTTTTCTACTTACGTGACTTTACCGAAAGAACCAAAGAGTATGTTGTTGAAGCTAGTTACAGATGATGATGATGGATTATGGAAAGATTGATAGATGGTTATGATGATGATGATAACGTATAATGGACGATGGTGATGATGGGGGGTGATGGATGATTATAATGTATCAACGATGATGATGCTGATGATGATGGAAGATGGTTATGATGATAATTATGTATCATGGATAACGGTGGTGATCATGATGGATTATGCTACTGCTGCTGGTGATGACAGATCAATGGATGGATGATGTTGAAAGATTATGATAGGTCATGGATAGTTGATGGTCATTATCGATGATGATGATGATGGATGGATAACAATGACGATGACTATTATAAGGGGTGATATCGATGACGGATAATCATTATTGCAATGATGACGATGAACACTGGCTTCACAAACAAAACAAACTCTTCCCACCTTTTGTCCAGGGTAGCCTGGCAGCCCATCCTTGCCATCTTTGCCCGGGGAACCCTGGCATGGAGAACATTTCAGCACCAATAAGCCACCCTGTGTACTGTCAAGGTCCATCAAGATTGAATGAAATTACGATTTTCACGGCACTTTATGTTTAAACAAATATAGTTTTTTAAAAAAAATTATAGTTAATATGTGGGAGCAAGAATGTACATCGATGAACACGCACACCAAAAAACAAAGTGCAAGATTAATTTGGCACAAATGTGCCAAGTATTTGTAAAAAACACAACAACTTGAATCATGTAATTACAGTAATCATGTACAAATATAAACAGTGTCATGTGCTTAATGCTGTATTGTTATAGTATGAACATGATGTTTGCTCGATCAATTACATGAGATATGTAATACAGAGTGAAATTATTCAGTGATACTGCTGCTGTGGAGCATTAGCGCAATTAATAATAAATAATCAAACTCGACGCATCCATTAATAATAACACTGTGGCCCGAAAATAAAAAAAGTATAATAGGCAACGTTTCAGGCAATGGCACGTAAGAACCTACGCATAAAAACGTGCTTTGTATGTGCCATCAAGAAGGGCCATTTCCAAAAATGCAACCTATTGTATATTTGATCAAATACCTATAGGAGCAAATCTATTAAATGGATGTCGCCGCTTAAAATAATGAATTCACGAACAGAGTCATTTATAGTGCATTGAAAGTGGGGGAAAGGGTTAGAAAGTTGCTCGAAACTCACAAAAGACTTGTGCTGAGAAATAGTATAAATATAAAGAGATGGAAATGCTCAAGTGAAGAAAGCGATGATGACTATAAACATGATCACATTCATTGCGCAAATAACCTCATAACGTGTTCAAGATAATGCAACGTGCAGCCTAACAGAATCTGCGAACTCTCAACTCTGGAATCCGCGCGGTGGTGCGGCGTCGCGAAAGCTGCGTACGCACCGGTGAACCCAGAACTCCGAGTCGACCCACGGAGCCAAGGTCGCCAGGCAGGCCCTGTTAAACCACAGAAGACAATAATGTCCGTGATGGCTCAGAGATAACGGTGCTCTGGGACCCTAATGAGGAAGAGTCGGCGAGTGACTGGTGGAATTCACAGCACGCAGCTCGCTATGCCAATGAAGGAAGCAGAAATAAAATAATAAAACACTATTTTGTCCGACGTGTGGTTACGGGTTTGTACCGCGCGTTGTTCGGCACCATGTCTGACGTTTCGCTCCACATGCCCCGGGAGCTGCTTCGTCATGTGAAGCGAAAAACGTCAAACGACACGCGAAAAAGGTCGGACGGTTGCGCCCAGCGACGCGATTTCACCCCGCGCGATCGGAGATTGTTCCTGCTGAAGGGCTTCATCCTGATAACGGTCCCATCACGTGGAGCGAAACGTCGGGCATCGTGGCTGAACAACGCAACGGTACGTCGCGAAGACGCGCAGGAGAGCTCCGCGGAACGACGGCCAAATAACCCACGCGAGGGTAAGAAAAATCAACCATAGGGCAATTACCTGGTCACCCAACTCCATCTGGCGCAAGCATGCACAGCGGATTAGACAAGGAGCACGAGATAAAAGGCTGCGTTTGAGAGATCGGAGCAGCAGACTCGGCCTCGTTAAAATATTGGTCAGGGCAGCTCATTTCCTCTGGGATTGAGTAACGATGGCCGCCGGTTTAGAAACCTTTAATGTAATAAATGTCCTTTAGAAAAGAGGTCGTTCTCAGTATACATGATCGGAGGCTTTGTAGGATATGAAATTAGGATATAATGGACAAGAGCCCTGTGCTCATTTCCTACAGACTCAATATTCGGTTTCGTGCACTCTAACGAGGGCACATTTTCAGAAGAATGAAACCGAAATCCAGACAAATATGCGAACAAGACAATTAAATATAGGGAAGTATTTGGCTTTATCTGATTTTTGATGTGACAAATAAGGGAGAAATGTAATTCTCTTAGGCGATTTAATGACGGTTAATTAGCCACCATTATGTAATTAATATAAATGCATATCACGTGACGGATACAAAATGTTGTCGTGTCCTATTTTCACGCGGCGAAACAGACTCGTGCAGTATTTTTTTTGTATCACCCACAATTATTGCAGATGGTTGTCAAATGAATTAAATACCCCAATGCGGAGCAGGTGAGGCTGAAGTCTGCAGTTAATTTGTGTGCAAGAGATCAGCGGAGACGGGCACACGCAATTAGCCCTGTTAACAGACTACAACACACACCGGCATGGTTCATTCGCAAAGGCAAGGGATTGCAGAAAAACCTCGGGATGTTGCCAGGGGCGCAACTTATGTAGGGGGTATGCGGCAGCGCTATGCGATGCAAATTGGGCCCAGTAGGCCATAAAGGGGGGGGGAGGGGGGCAAATGAACAGATGAAGAATTACAACAATTTTAAGGGAAGAAATATAAAAAAAAGTTCCCCCAACGATGAACCATAAATGCTAAAAAACATTGTTACAAATGAAAACATATTTTATTTCCTAAAAATACACGCAGCGTGAAATATAGTCGCGCTACTGCTGGTGTTTTTTTACTGAACCCCAGGATTGTTTGCTCACTGACATGTGCATGAAAGCAAGATAACTTAATCGTGAGTATTGTACCTTTCAATATTTTTTATTGATGCTGTCACCGTGAGACTGTCTTCCTCTAAACCAAATAGAAGGTGCAACAAAAATAATATATATAGTTATAGCCTACGTATTGTTGGGTTCAAAATATCCATAGCCATTTCAGTAAAAGTGAGTCGGGAGAAATGAGGAGGGGCCCACAGTCGTATCTTGTATACCCACCCCGTTTAAATAGGTCGTGTCGCCCCTGGATGTTACCACGGTGGTGTAATGGTCAGCATACTCGGCGTGGCAGCAAAAAAAACATCATGCAAGTTACATAAATCTCCCCCTCTGTCCACCCGGCACTCTCTATATAGGCACACGCCAGTTATTCTCGATCGGCATGTTGCGTGTGGTGGGACAAAGTGTCGGTACTTTCCCACCTCTTTCGAGACAACCGGCCAGAATTGGACAGTCGGCCAGACACCTTCTGCAAGGGGGCCTTAGACGGCTCCCTCGAGCGGTGGCCCTTCCGCCAAAAGTGGACGTTGGGAATGCATTTTCAGGGCCGCGCCTTCACCCTGCGCAGTGAAACCACCGCACGATGCTCAGCGGAAACACGGTGGACAATGACGAAAGGCCACACACCTGGCTGCCGGTGGCTCCAGGAGGCCCGGGCTGACCAGGTGGCCCGCGTTTCCCCTGCGAGCGTTCGGAGGAAGAAACACAAGGTGACGGAAATTAATCATCGGTGTAAAGTCTCGGGTTATTGGAACATAGAGGGGGGCAAGGGGTACAACCCCTCCCCTACCCCAACCACCCCCCCCCCCCCCACGGACCTTTTTTGAGGAGGTCAAAAGCCATGCGAAGTGCCCCCCCACCCATAAATTAAGACAGCGAGCGTGCCGTGGAATGAAAATGGGGGTTGAGAAGCACTCAATTAAGGCCTCTCCGCACCTTGCATGTGCGGTGGTTCTTTTGAAACGATATTCCCCTCCTCTAGTTTATGAACGTACTTAAATCCCTTTGCCAATATTTCCCACTGGTTGGACGACGGCCTCAACCACCACCCTATTGTCGGTCACGGGAGACGTTTGACCGTACTTCACTGTGCTTGTCAATGTGGGTTGATAACGGTGGAGTGGGGTGGGGGGGGCAGCCGAACCGGCTCAGATATCACTCGCCACTAACGTTAGGCTTGGCCGGCGGAGGAATCGAACTTGGGTCGCCGGATTGACGGCGCGGTGCGCCAACCGCTGCACTGCCGCCGCTCCACGCCCCGAGTTTGAGATTTTCCAGGGCGGGTGGCCCTCTGACGAACAGAAGCTCGTGTGAATGGAAATGAAAAGGAAGTGGCCCCGTTTGAAGATTTCCATCGTGCCGCTAAATGACCACGTTCGACCTCCACAGATGGCACCGATTAAACCGAACAACGGACGACTTCCAAACGCGCATTTGAGATCCGTACCACGCACGAACCATGCGTTTTTTGGTTTTATTTTATCCTTCTAGCCTTGTTCCACCACATGTAGGTCAATTACACCCACGTGGCATGCCCATTTAGCCTCAGGTTTGTGAAAACCACCGCTCGATAGCTGGCCTGCAGACCACCCGGTTGAATGAGGAATGCCCCCCCCACCCCCATTCATCAGTGTAGATAGTCAGGAGCCAATTTAATTAAGATTAACAGTAAACAACATTCTTTATTGTGAAATCATACTTTTAACTGTTGACGTAAATGTCTTACTTGTAGCCCCATGTCACTCCACGAAAAGTCTCCCCACGCATTTCAGTCAAGGGAGGGGGGGGGGGGGTTGTTTAACCATACTTCACCACGCTGGTCAGTGGGATGGTGAAGTTGAGCAGAAGTGCAGGATTGGTTCAGGTGTCACTTGCGGGGTTCTGGGGCCAGGAATCTACGTCAGGTCGCCAGGATCATAGTGCAGTGCGCTAAGCACTATGCCACCACTCCACCCGTGTCTCTAGAATGATATTTATTTACCTACTGTTTCCTTCATCAACTTCTCTTTAAGTCTTTTTAGTTTGTTTCTCTGTTAAAAGGCACAATCAGAAACATGGGCTTTGACAAAAGTGAAACACGGAGCTGAGAACTGCGGGTAGAGGCACGGAGGGACGTTTGCGGCACATTGCACCGAGACACAGAAAGGCGAAAGAGATGATGGATCAGAGAGCAAATGGCAGTTAGAGACAGCATCCCGACTTGAATTTAAGCGATCTTGGGCGAGAACATATCGCTGTTTTTTCCTGGATTTTTCTGTTTGCGCATAGTCACTTTAAGATGTTTTCTTGTTCACGTTTTTTTGTTTGTTGCGGTTGCACCCGATTCAAGAGCCGAATGGCTCACAGGGCTTTACTAAATAAATTAAAATGAAAAATAACAGATGTTGGTTGGTGGTTGGGAATAATGTTGGAAGGAAGATGCCCAAGAACACTTCCACCGCGGAGACGGATGAACGACATCAGATCGTGTGCAGAATCCACTGCTAGATGAAGGCTTCCCTCATGGGTTGTTGTTTGACCATACTTCACCACGCTGATCAGTGAAGGTTGCTGTAAGTAGGTGTTCAGGACAGTGCCGGATTATCCGAGTGGCAAAATTAGCTACATAATGCTACGGGCCCCGTACTTTCAAGGGCCCCGCGCTAAACGCTTTCAAGCTGTCAATTCCGGTTCAGTGATTCTGCACTTGCTCTATTACTATAGTACTATACTGCCTTCAACTTTTATGAACGACTGGGTGTTTAAGGTGAGCGATTTGTCGTATTATCTGGCTGGATGGCAAATGAAAAAAAAACAATTACTTTACTATGCAAGTTAAAAATGTATGTGTTTTAATATTCATGTGTGTTTTTTATTTATTTATGAAGGGCCCCTTTATAACATATGATACGGGCACCGCACTAGCTTCATCCGGCACTGGTCCAGGACCAGATCAAGATATCGCTCGGACCGATGTCTGTGCGTGAAAAACGAGCCCTCGTGTTGTCCTGTACAATAGCGCCACCCAGCGAACATTCCCACATTAAAATAAAACTCAAGTTTCATTCAATCTGCCTGTGGAGCCTTCGAGACCAATCCTTCCAGGGGAGAATGAGTTTGAGAAGACAAACGATGGCCCTGTCTTGACCTCTCGCAGTCTGTTGGACAGTTAAATACAATTCTGCCGTGTTGCAGGCAAGGGCTCTCCCCTGGCCACTATGTGAATGTGAATTCAACCGCAGTACAACACACGTGGTATATGATCAAAGTCATTTGATTTTGACGCGCTCACACAAGAACGAGATACGTCCATCGCGGAGACGGAACGATGGAATCAGCTCGTGCGCAGCTGCTGGGTGGATTCTTTGAGAATCATTTGTCCAATTATCATCACCATCGCGATCTATGGACAGGTAGCACCGCAGGTGTCCACTGCACTTTAATTGTGCCACTATACTCAAGTAGCGGCCACGTCTGTCTGGCACCGGTCTCTGATGTCGTCATCAAGCCGTTCACTGTGACGTCTTCCTCTCCTTCCGGTTCCTTCCATTTTCCGAACAACACAATATTAATTTTCCTTCTGTTGCCCATCCTAGATGTGTGTCCAAATAGTTCCAGTTTCCTTCCCATCACTGCCTGCATCAGGTCTTCTTCTATGTGCAGCCTTTTTATTACCTCCACGTTGGTCACTCTTTGTGTCCAGTTTAGATGCAGTATACTTCGATAGCAATACACTTTTGAATGCCAATATCTTCTCTCTGTCAGTCAATTTTCGATGTCAAAACCTCACGAGCATAACAATCTGAACCGATCCTAGGCCTCCCCTAGACCGACTCAGCCTCAAGAGAGTACCTGGTGGGGTGTGTAACATCGCCAATGGGGATACAAAGGCGGCCGGGGGCGTGGTGATGGCCATCCAACCCCCCTTGTGTCGGCCTTCATCGATGCTCGCTAATAGCACTTGACACAAAAAAACGTGTTGAGCCTATACGGGGGATCTTTGTCTTTGTGTGAGTGGGTGAGGGTGAGTTTTTTTGTGACCTGCAGTGTGGTAGTGATGGTTCAACACCGTGGGGTAGATGAGACGAAATGGTGGAGTGGCAGACCAAGTCCTCAACATTGGTGAGTGGTAGACCAAGTCCTCAACATTGGTGAGTGGTAGACCAAGTCCTGAACATTGGTGAGTGGTAGACCAAGTCCTCAACATTGGTGAGTGGTAGACCGACTGATCAACATTGGTGAGTGGTAGACCAAGTCCTCAACATGGGTGAGTGGTAGACCAAGTCCTGAACATTGGTGAGTGGTAGACCGACTGATCAACATTGGTGAGTGGTAGACCAAGTCCTGAACATTGGTGAGTGGTAGACCGACTGATCAACATTGGTGAGTGGTAGACCAAGTCCTCAACATTGGTGAGTGATAGACCAAGTCCTGAACATGGGTGAGTGGTAGACCAAGTCCTCAACATGGGTGAGTGGTAGACCAAGTCTTCAACATGGGTGAGTGGTAGACCAAGTCCTCAACATTGGTGAGTGGTAGACCAAGTCCTCAACATTGGTGAGTGGTAGACCAAGTCCTGAACATTGGTGAGTGGTAGACCAAGTCCTGAACATGGGTGAGTGGTAGACCAAGTCCTCAACATGGGTGAGTGGTAGACCAAGTCCTCAACATTGGTGGAGGAATCAATTAGTTAAGTTCACAGGAACAGTAACCATGGCAGTTGCTATTTAATTAGTTATGCTAAAGTGGCTTATATTATTTCTTGTAAAAAGGGCTCATTTGATAGACTTACACACTGACATAAGTGTCCCGTGGAAGTGTCAAATTTGTGAAACGATTCATCGTTGATGCTTGTAATTATTACATTTGTACATCTTCTTTGGTTCTTTCGGTAAAGTCACGTAGAATGAGAATAAAATAATAAATTGATAAAATAAAATAACACAATAATATTCTCACGACAGTCTCGTCCCTTCACCTGATGAAGGCCGCTTGTGTTGTGGCCGAAACGTCGTGAGAATATTATTGTGTTATTTTATTTTATCAATTTATTATTTTATTCTCATTCTACGTGACTTTACCGAAAGAACCAAAGAAGATTAATCATTGCAGTCACGAAAGCTTCAAATCGACATTTGTACATGTCCACCATAGAGGGCGCTGTTGTACCATGCGAGGGCAGGGCATCATTTCAGGACTGTAAACACGAATTATTCAATAACAGTGGCTTTAAAATAAATTATAATGGGCGACGTTTCGGTTAATGGTCCTTTCTCATAGCACATAACATGAATGTGCAAGGGTCATGACCCTAAATGTCGCCGATGTTATATTTTTTCCCTTTTAAGGCCAGTGTTGTTGACGAATGTGTGGGGTTATTTTGTAAATTGTGCTTGTGCACAGCTGCCAACACAGGTTCAATTCATTTCATGAGCCAGTTTCCCTGAGTCAGTTTCCCTGAGTCAGCCTTCCTGAGTCAGTTTCCCTGAGCCAGTTTCCCTGAGTTAATTTCCCTGAGCCAGTTTCCCTGAGCCAGTTTCCCTGAGTCAGTTTCCCTGTGCCAGTTTCCCTGAGCCAGTTTCCCTGAGCCAGTTTCCCTGAACCAGTTTCCCTGAGTCAGTTTCCCTGAGTCAGCCTTCCTGAGTCAGTTTCCCTGAGCCAGTTTCCCTGAGTCAGTTTCCCTGAGCCAGTTTCCCTGAGTCAGTTTCCCTGAGCCAGTTTCCCTGAGTCAGCCTTCCTGAGTCAGTTTCCCTGAGTCAGTTTCCCTGAGTCAGTTTCCCTGAGCCAGTTTCCCTGAGTCAGTTTCCCTGAGCCAGTTTCCCTGAGTCAGTTTCCCTGAGCCAGTTTCCCTGAGCCAGTTTCCCTGAGCCAGTTTCCCTGAGCCAGTTTCCCTGAGTCAGCGTTCCTGAGCCAGTTTCCCTGAGCCAGTTTCCCTGAGTCAGTTTCCCCGAGCCAGTTTCGCTGAACCTGCCAGCATGTCGTGGAAGCGCTCAGGCAAGTTGATGATGTAGTTGTCAGCACGGGCTGTCGACCAAGGACCAGAGGATTGGCTGTCACCAGCCGGAGGCATCAATCCTCCTTGCACCGTCGCCTTACGCGTGCTTCCAAAAGTAGACAGCAGCCACATTGCTTAAGGAGGCAGTGAAAAGGAGGGCCTGCAATGGCTGTAATTCTGAAGTTCGGAGGAATGTAATCCAGGGGGGGGGGGGGGTTCATTGATAGCGGGGTCAATCGGTCATCACGGCACGGCACTGGCTTAGCTACCGATTGTGCAGGCGGTGTAACTGCACCGGGAGCTATGGACCGGAGGGGCTCGAGTGGTGGGATGCTGGGCTTACCGGGGGTCCCTCCTTCCCCGACGCTCCCCTCTGGCCCCTACGACCCTGCAAACGTCATAAAATAAATGCATAGATAAAACGTCTCCTTCACATCGACACACGTTCCCAGTCTCTCCACGTAAATAAAACAGACGTGTTTTTTACAAACCAAAAAAATCCATCAGCCGCACGGCCTTCTGGGCGTGCGTGATTTCATTGCCGGCGACGGCGAATGTTTGACCTTGTAATATGTCGCATCCTAAATTACAAATACACTTTGATCATAATAAACAATAATGATGCAATTTATGTACCCTGGCAAAGCATCTGCGAGTGTCAAGAGGGCCCACTATTCGGATGTTTTAAATGGAAATACAGCCCTGGCCAATGACTTGCGATGTGGCGGTGACAATAATCCGGTCGCTTTCACCGGGGACATGCCCTCGCCTCCACCGAAAACCCCCACGTAACGTTGACCCCCAACTCAACAAAAAGTAATCGCGCCGGACCCCATCCATTAACCGTGGCGGCCTCTGGGAGGTCACGAATAAATAATTCGCCAAAGCGGCGCTCGTGGGAGAAACCTAATTCCGTGGCCGCGATGAGAGGTTCGCTCGGAGGGATCGCGACTACAGGGGGGGGGGGGAAATGTTCTAAGTTTTCCCCGGCGCGCTCGTGTTCCTTCCTCGACGCGCGGGGCGGCAAGGCGGGCGGGATCGCGTTTCTGCGAGCGCGAGGAGTCAGTTGGCGCACGTGCTCCCGCGTGTGCTGTTAGGCTTGGGGGGGGGGGGAGGGGGGTCTCGCTCTCCGGCCCCCACCCCCTCCCCCTCCCGGTGTTCCAAGTCCCTCGACCTTAACGCAGCAGGAGGTTGGATGGCGCAAAATGTATGCGCGCTCTCCGGTGCGTGTTTTTTTTCTGGTTGTGCTCCGCGTGCCGGACATCATGGGGTTTTAACGTCGTGCCAGACATCGTGCAACGAAACGAAAGCAAATTCGGTTCCTTTTGTCCGAAGAGGAGGCACAGATCGTGGAGCGAAACGTCGGACAGCGTGCGGAACAGCACGCAGTACAATCCGGAAACACAATGGTATTTTGAAATAAAATCTACGCAGAAGTAAATTGTAGGCAGCACTCAAGGGACCCGAAGGTCTTCAGGGTTGGCTGTTGCCTATAATGCCAGGAAACCCAGAGACGTTGGTTTAACAGGACTCTCCCTGCTGATGAGACCTAAAAGCAATCCAAGGCTTTGGCTTTTAAAATAAATGTTGCTGGAAAGCTTTGGTCTGGAAGGCCGGTAAGCTGACGGAACTAAATGTTATTCCATTGCATTTTTGGAAGTGAAACGGACCCTTGTCTGTTTACGGGTGGGTTAAAGCCATCATGAAATCCCTGGCATCAGATCTGTGACACGTGATCTGATCAAGGAAGATGAGTCGGAGAAGGGATGTGGCTTGCTCATTTAAGACGAGCAATACATAAATAAATACAATTATTGACATTTCTATTCGCGCCACATATTTGAACCCGAAATGAAGTTCACATCTACATACCCCACACAGCCGTGGTGGATGTTTGAAGGATGCGTGTTCAAAAAAAAATACAATTGAGCTCCTTTTAAATTATTTCACGCAAGCAAATAGCGCGCAAATAAAACAACATCAGAGACCCACCACTTAGCCATGGCAATTGCTGTTGGCGAGCACCTGACGAGGCTGTCATGGTACGCAGCAATGTGTGTCGTTGCCACATTGCTCAGCGTCTTGACAAATGGTTGTACTGAAAAATCGGTTAATCGCCACGTCACGTCGTCTCACGCACGGGAGCTGTACAGATGAGTTTGTGAAAAGGAATGGCTGAGTTTGTGAAATGGAATGGCTGTAACGGAACTCTGCCCCTCAACCCCCCCCCCCCCCATCTCTACCCCCACCCCATCCGATAACCGCAGCTTGTTTGACCCCGGGTCAACGACTAAGGAATGACCAGTGACCCGGTCACACGTGACTGTTGAGCCAGTTTCCTTTTTTAAGTACCAAAGGCGGCCCCGATTTGGCTTACGAGAGACACCCTGCTGAGGCCTTACATCATGATTCCCACCGCTCGATTGTGCCACTGCGCCTTGCGGCCCTCTGCTGACTATCCCAGCACGGTAGATGCACCGCACCAGGGTGGTGCTTATTGACCAGAACATGATTCGTGATTGGGCTTGGTGATTGTTGTCGACTTATGCATCGCCGTGAAATATTTGCCCAAATCGAAGGATGTGTGTAATAGGGGGTCGCTACCGTAGTCACTGTTTTAAATACGTAGCATCCCAATTCACTGCTGGATGAAGGCCTCCCCATGCAGCGTCGTTTATGGGACTTGTTTGACCATACTTCACCACAATGGTTGGTGCGTGTTGGTGAAGGTAGGGGGGCGGAGTTATCATCATCACGGTCCATGGGCAGATATCCTGTAGGTGCCCACTGCACATTTAATTTGTTTCCACTTTACTCTGTCCTGTGCCAATTTTTCTCAAGCAGCACACATATTTCTGGCACCAATCTCTTATGTCGTCGTCAAGGACTTCCTCTCTTACTCATTGTTTTTTTCGGTAAAGTCACGTATGTAGGAATACCATAAGATTATATTAAAACAAATCAATCACGACGTTTCGACCGCAACACAAGCGATCTTCATCAGGTGTAAGAAACAAATCACGGAGGTAAATACAACAAGAAGATGAGAGACGAGAATTCAACAAACCTAAGAAAAAATATGTGATACACAACCAGTCAGGTCAACAACACAGTTAGACACTTGCCTGGCGGACCACGAATTTCAGAAGAGTGTTAAATTTCGTGTTCAACCTCTGGATTGAACATACCAGCATAGACAGAGTGAACAAATACGAGGTACAAGTCAGAAATACATATACAGAGACACCAAGAGGCAAGAACGGACAGAGAAGTAAGGTCGGATGAAACGGAAGCCTTAAATAAGAAGTGAAGGTGGGGAGAGGGGCCAGAGAGAAAGAGCGGGGCAGGAGGAAGCACGTGCTGCTACGCTGGGGGGGGGGGGGGGGGGGGCAGGAGCAAGTAAGGGGCACACCACGTTTAGGACAGAATTGCAAAGGTAACTTCCCCGTAGAAATTCGTGGTCCGCCAGGTAAGTGTCTAACTGTGTTGTTGACCTGACTGGTTGTGCATCACATATTTTTCCTTAGGTTTGTTGAATTCTCGTCTCTCATCTTCTTGTTGTATTTACCTCCGTGATTTGTTTCTAACACCCGATGAAGATCGCTTGTGTTGCGGTCGAAACATCGTGATTGATTTTTTAAATATAATTTTATGGTATTCCTACATACGTGACTTTACCGAAAAAAACAATGAGTAATGTATGCAGTCACGAAAGCTTTAATTCTTTACTTCCTCTCTTTCCCGTTGCTTCCAATTTTTTCCCAAAAAAACAACACAATTTAAATGTTCCTCTTGTTGTCTAGCCTACATGTGTGTCCAAACGGTGCCAGTTTCACTTCTCATCACTGCAAGCGTCAGGAGGAGTTCAGAACAACGGCGAAAGTTCCTGTGCTGCCCTCTACCGCTCACGACGCCTACCGCAGCAGCTGCACCCCCACCCTTGCACGTGTCTGGTGGGGGGGGGGGGGGTTCAGATGTCGCTCACCGCTAACGATAGCCGTGGCTGTGAATACAACAACTCAGTTCGACGAGTTCACAGCAACGCGGTTCGCTAACCGCTGCGCCACCTTCACCCCAGCGATCAGCAGCGCAGCGTTCGATAGCGCTGCCGTTGTCACGTCGCTAATGGAGCTGTCATTTTCGAGGCGCACGGCTCAATTTTGTTCGTCTCTCTCTCTCTCACTCTCTCCCCGTAGTTTTATTGGCGGAGTGTCTCGTGGATAGAAAGAAAGAAGCCCGGCGAAGCGATTGTTTCACGCAAAACATGCAATTTTGTTTCGGAATTGGAAAATCAGGCCCGGGGTGGAGGGCGGGTAGGGGACATTATGTAAGATCGTGGCCGCACTTCACACGCGCGCGAGTGTGCAGTTTAATTGGCCGTCCCTTTTCCCGCTCGAGTAGAAAAAATGTAATTGTGATCTGATAATGCTTTCGCTTTGTCGTGTCGAGAGCTGCCGCCCCTTTTTCATATGTGTAGCAGTAGCCGCTTCGCTTGCTACCCAGTGTCTCTCTCTCTCTCTCGAGTGCACAACCCCCGGCTGACTGACAATGGCTTTCACAACCATCCCATCGAAAAGCTTCCAAGTGTGAATTATTGCCTAAAAATATATTTAAATCGTACCCACAGCGTGCAACGTGTACCGTTTAATTGCTGTTTGCGTCAACACTGTCACTTACAAGGCCGGCAGGCGCAAGAAGTGAAAGGCTTGCGCGTGCATTTTACGGAAACATATTTGCAGCTAGGTAGTAGGCCTTACTGACGTCCTATATATATCAAAACACATGTATGAGATAAAAGGCGCAAACCTGAAATTGCTTGCTCACACCGCTGCTGGTAAAAGGGCCTCAAATACAAGGGAGCTTTTGAGAGCCCCTCTAGAGCAGGGGTCGGCAATCAAAACAACAAGAAGAGGCGGACAATGCACTGTGGGTGACTACGAGACGGTGGGTCCTGAATAAATCACGTGACGAAGAGGTCCGCATGCTTGCCGACCGCTGCTCTTGAGCGTATTTGGCCTGCTCTTCCACGCTGACGTTTTCAAAGCGATGGGAATGACCCACACTTTACCCCACCGCACGCGACTAGCCCGAATGACCCTGCCTGTGGCGAACCCGTGAGTTTGCTGCTGGGTGGACAGAGGAGGTGGTGGTCGTGTAAATAAAAAAAAAGTTGCACCGTTGTTTCAACTCCCGCGCCCCCGTGAGTGGACAGGAGACCTCTGGATAATCAAGTCCAGCGCGCTAACCATTGCAACATCGGCAGCACCCCCCTGCCAAATCCGATATTCAGACATAAATTAGCAACAAGTTAAGTGTGCGTGGCTTCAGGCTATCCATTAATGCAAGAGGGCATTCAGCAAATCACGCGGCAGGCTTTTTGTTTCGCGTCACTAATGAAACTCACGCTGTGGCAGATATCCGGCAGGGATGGTTGCATAGACGGCGCACTTCAGCATTCGCGACGTGTAAATCCTCGATGAAAGCGGCATGAGCCTGGTTCGCGTTGATAAACCGTGCTGCTTATGCACGGGATCGCTGCTAATTCTGAAGCCAAACAAACTCTAAACTCAGTTAGCTCTCCGATGTATGTATTCGTTATCGTACGTTGCTCAATTAAGGCTGAGTCCACCTACATGTAGGGCCATGATAAAGTTCAGACAACAGTTGTCACTTTCGGCTCCCTCCGATGTGCTTTTGGGATTGTGCCATGCATCGTTGCTCGGCACGATGCCCTACGTTTCGTTCGAGGTCCTGGTAGCCTTTTACAGGAGTAATATTCAGTAATACGCAGGCCCATTCGGCACGTGGGATAGTGATGCAACACAACCGCGAAAACGTACCCAGTAGTCTAAAGAAAGTTCTTTCCAGCATCACCAGTGGGCGAAAATGATACCGCTGGTGGGGAAAAGCTTCTGTGGCGATGTGCAAATGTGTAGGATTTGTTTGAATTCCTAGGTGACGAAAGCGGGAAGAAAAGCATTATTTTCTCGTTCCTGCGAGAAGAGCCGTGTTTATAATCTGTTAGTAACAGCAATACTAAGAATAATGATCTGTGCATTTACAAAGCGCTTGCTTAAATGCCTCAGAAACTCAAAACGCCTCGTTTACAACATCTGAAGGGGCCAAATCCCCAGTGGCAGCTGCCCCTGTGTGGCAGCTGCCACTGGGCGTTAATCTGCCAGTGGGGGGTGGGGGGGCATGATTGCCACTGTGTGTAATCCCAAATTGAGTAACGTGACGGTAATGCTTCGGCATTTGGGAAAATCGTGGACCGTGACGACAGCACACAATGGCCTGCACGTTATGGGCAATGTCACGGAATCTTGAACGCCCGACGAAGCAGACGGCGCGTATTTACGGTTAATACACTCACGGTAATAACCAGGGCAGCCTGCTGGAATTCAACCGCAAATCTACGCAACAAGCTGTCAACGAGCTACCACCGTTAATTTTGTTATTCCTATTTTTTATCATCTTACTCTGAAAACCTAGGCTAAGAAACTCTCAATATCACGTAATTATAATAATGCCAATATGAAAACCTAATGGTAATCCACTGCTGGATTACAGCCTCCCCACTCTAAATCAATTGTGGGGGTTGTTTAATCATCATAATAAGATAATTTTGCTGCGCGTGCAAATTTCGCGAAATGGACGAATCATTGTTCGATCACAAAACACTTCACCACACTGGTTCAGGTATCAGTCGCTACCGACCAAAGCCGTGGCCGGGAATCGAACTCAAGTGGCCGGGTTCAACGCGCAGCGCGCCGAACCACGTGCGCCGCCGCTTCCACCCTCGCCCATTTCGTAAAGCAACAAAAAACAAAACCGAGCACCCATTATAAATTTTTACAACAACAAAAGCCACAAAGTGTGCGCGCGAGCCAACGTCAAAATAAACACATCACGGTTGCTGCGTCTTACCCTCCTCCCCGCGGTCCCAAGGGGTCCGATTTCGCCACGGGGTCCTGGAGGGCCCTGGGAGAGAGAGAGAGAGAGCGAGGGCACGAACGGAGACAAAGCAAAACAACAATTACGCCCGCTCGATCTCTTTCTCTCTCTCTCTCTGTGCCCCTCGCGCGACCGCTCCCGCAGTCCCCGAGGCTCGGAGGTTCCTCTCGGAAGACCGACGCGGCTCGACTCGCAGCTGCGGTGTAAATGTGATCGCGCCGTTTGACTGCGCTCGCTCGCTCGCTCACGCGGGCGGGCGTGCGGGCACGGCCGCTTCATTACGCCTCACGAGCTCGGCTCGCAAAGCACCCGCGTCTCAGAGCTGCGCCTTGAGCCGGAGTGAGGTTTCTGTCGTGAACGTGTAACCCGACAGCGATACGAGTTGGGCGTAATGTGGCGTCTCAATGCGGCCACAATCTCCAGGCGCTGCGCAGAAGCGGTGGGTGTGTTTCATAGAGAGAGGCTGCCATAGGTATCTCTTGTCTAGGTGATTCTGTGGGTGGGTGGCTGTGCGTGAGTCTTTGTGTGTATGTTGAACTTCTTTCGCACCGTACGTAGCCAACCGTGCTAATCGGAGGTCTCGAGTATATGTGCCTCTGTGAGTATGTGGGTCTCTGTGTCAGCCTCTGGGTCTCTTTGTAAGTCACTATAAACGATGTGTTTATACTGTGTCTAAATGTGGCCGCATCCATCGCAAGACACATTCTCGTGAATTCACACATTTTCCCCCATTTCGTCCTCTCATCTATTTCATTCACCTCATCTCCACCATCACACTCACATGCACCGTTGTTAATTCTTTGTAAAGCGCCTAGGTTAAGGCGATATATACATTTCTTTAAGATAAGATGAACGGTTGGCAATTTATTTTGCAGAGAGATCGAGACAGTCAGTCATAGGCAGAGGAAAACAGGAAGGTCATGTGAGTAGACATGAACAGAGCATGGAGTAACAACAGAAGTCGTTCCTCTGTGAATCTGAAGCAAATTTCCTTATCCGATTAGTCGAGTGATAGAACCGATAATCGGGAGAGTGATCAATTACTTCAATAATTACATCGCCAGGCTTTTTTTATGGGACGGTGACAGGGCCTAGCGCTCGCGCATTTTGCCGCTTGTTGCAAAGGTTCAAATCAACCAGCCGTAATTATAATCATAATTAATAGCGCAATAATGCAGGTGTACTGCGTAAAGGTGGATAATAAAGACGGTGCAGCGTCATTTGCAAGAATAGGCCACTGTGTGCCGGAATCGTGGTCCAAATTTGGCCAATTAAAAAAATGGCTGCAAATTTATTTGTTGGCATTATGCGTAGTAATCGTAAGCCGACAACCCTCAACTGCGAAAACTTGGCAGGACCCTCCGTGAAAAGAGTCCTGAGGCTCGGTGAAGCTTTCCTGGATAAAAACTATAACTATTTACATTTTACTAGGTAAGGCTCACTGAGCTACATGGCTATTTTTAATAAGCGACCTGGCTATCACAAATGATAGCTCAACGAAGTGGCTTATCACAGTGGAATTTTATAGCGGCCAAAAATACCCTAAAAGCATGTTTCTAAATGTGGAGGGAAAAACCAGAGAGCACAGAAATAAATCCACGTAACCACACGAAGAGGCATGCAAATTCCAAATATACGGGCACCAGGAACCGGGATCGAACCCACGCCCTCCTGCATACCAGGAGAGGTAGTTAACATCTCGACAGCATGGCATAATGATCATAGGAGTGAAATAACTCTTCTAAAGACTGTCAGATAATTATTTTTGTCACCATATCGCCAGGAGGTCCTGCCAGCCCAGGTCTTCCGACTGGGCCCTTGGGTCCCTGATGAAAAAAAAGATAGCAAAGATACGAAAGGAACAATGAATGAACATAATGTATTTCCACGCAAAACCAAAAAAACATTACTCAATTAGGCAATGAATATCAACATCAGCAACTGCATTAACACGTTAAGCTGCTGTTGGCGCGTTCGCAAAGGTCGAGGGATTACATTACATTGCCGCGCTTGGCAGCGATAATTGCGCTAATTAGGCTGGCACGTGTGCGGGGCTGCGGAGCACAATGAGACGAGGTCGCCCTGTCACCCGATTAGGGAGCATTGCAAATCCTCGAGGCGATCTCACGGCACTGAAATCTGCACCTAAACCCAACGGCCAAAATGTGGGCCTTTTAAAACAAAAATATCCCCTGATTGCAAGTGGAAGGCAAATGTGATCAAAATGAATTGTATGGAGTAGTTATGGGAGCTGTCAGGTGGCCAGGAGATAGCAGTAAAGTTATGGATTATTGAATCCATCTGTGCGGGACTGTGAGTGATATCTCATCACGTGCATGGGTGTTCCCAGTGTGCTCTAACTTCCTCCCAGATGCCTCATTGATTGGAAGTGGTCAAACAGCCCAATGCACGAGCCGCCTATAAATGAGTGTTTAGGCTCAGTGAGGTTTATTATTATGAATTAGCATCCTAGTTCAGAGCTTAAGACAGGCGGCTACAAACAATCTTCAAGTCTTCAACCTCATCACTCACTAAATAGCAAAACAATTGCGCAGACCAAAACAATGTTTCCGAAGCCTTTGTATTTACGTTGTAGAGCCCCGTCTGTTGGCAGCTTGCCGCCCGGTGGCGTATATCGTGCCGGATATTGCCCCAGACGCGCATCCTCAAGACGCTCTCCGAGCTCCAAACAAATGAGCTGAGAAGGTCGCTTCGAGTGCAGGAGGAGGGGAGCGTCCTTGACTCGGCTGAGATGTGTGGCTCAAGGAAACAGGCCATTTGAGGCCGTGAATCCAGGCCAGATATTTCACTCGTCGGTCGAACGTTTGAGGTTCCAATTTCTTTCTACGGTCAACACGTGTGAATTTTGTGATGACCGTTTGATTTGAGTGGCTTTATCGAGTAATTCGCTCTTGCTGACCGTGTGAATAAATCGGTACTACAAAAGTTTTGTTCCCCTAGGTGGTACCCATTTTCTGCTGTGGCCCATGGACTCTGAAGGCAAGAACCTCAAGAAGTGGCAAATAACAAACGCGATGCGATGTTTGTGATCGGTGTGTGCACATTGGTGGTTTGCTTAATTGGCGAAAGCCACGAAGCAACCTGGCCCCCTTCTCGTAGACTTTTAATCGTCTGTGAAGCACGGCGCCTCCGTTGGTAGCCTTGCGCTGGTGAGAACTGCGCGGACGCCAAACGTGCAGATGGCTTTATTTTTGTGCCGTATAATAAACGTAAAGTTGCAGCCTTTGGGAAGCATGCACGTGGCAGCGGGTAGATTAATGCTGCCGATGATAATGTTTAGATGCACATAATAATGATTATGATTGTTATTTTGTGATCCTCGGTCAATCCACCGCTGGATGAAGGCTGCCCCACGCTGTGTCTTGTCATGGGGACTGTTTGGCCATTCTTCACCACACTGGTGAGAATACGGGGTGGAGAAAGTCAAATGCATATCCGTCTCCGTAATCGTTGGCCACCTGCTTTTGTTAAGGTATGAAGTGTCAAATTATTCAAAATACGTGACAGGTCTAGCAGAAGGCGAGTTAGTGAAACATTTCAACACGTTAGGCTTTCGCGACCATTGTTATGCATAATAGAGGTTTTTGGGGTTAGATCGCGTCAATATAAACGCGTTGTTAAACCCGGCACCACCCGACACAGCCAATTAGCGAGGTTTGTCACGTTGTGCGTTGCTGTACAAGTAACGAATTGGCATTTTTGTTTACGTGACAAACCTCGCTAATTGGCTGTGTCGGGTGGTGGCGGGTTTTAACGACGCATTCCTATTTACGCGATTTAACCCAAAAGAAACCTCTAATGTGGAGTGAAACATTCGTCGTCTGACCGATGGGAGGGAGGGATCACACGCACACACACAAAACACAACAACCCACTCGTTACAAAACAAAATGAAGGTCAAACAAAACACGGACAAGCGGAAAAAAAAGGTCAAAGTTCGCTTCGAATGGGATGTTTTCAGGGGGGGTGGGGTGGGGGGGGGGCTAGCTGAAGTTCACGATCGATCGGCGGGGGTTGCGCGTTTGCCGCGGCAGCACTCACGGGATCGCCGTCCGCTCCGGATATCGGGGCCTGCAGCGAGAAAACGACGAGGGGTCACCGTCGGCCGCTCGCGGATTGCGCGTAGCGTGACGCCACTGGGCGCGTCTCTGTGACGACACACGACTCTGTGACGCCACTGGGCGCGACTCTGTGACGACACACGACTCTGACGTCGCTCTCTGACGACACACGACGCTGTGACGACACACACGACTCTGTGACGACACACGCGACTGTGACGACACACGACTCTGTAACGACACACGACTCTGTGACGACACACGACTCTGTGACGACACGCGACTCTGTGACGACACGCGACTCTGTGACGACACGCGTCGCTCTGTGACGATACACGACTCTGTGACGACACACGACGCTGTGACGACACACACGACTCTGTGACGACACACGAGAGTGTGACGACACACGACTCTGTAACGACACACGACTCTGTGACGACACACGACTCTGTGACGACACGCGACTCTGTGACGACACGCGACTCTGTGACGACACGCGTCGCTCTGTGACGACACACGACTCTGTGACGACACACGACTCTGTGACGACACGTAACTCTGTGACGACACACGACTCTGTGACGACACGCGACTCTGTGACGACACACGACTCTGTGACGACACACGACTCTGTGACGACACACGACTCTGTGACGACACGCGACTCTGTGACGACACACGACTCTGTGACGACACACGACTCTGTGACGACACACGACTCTGTGACGACACACGACTCTGTGACGACACACGACTCTGTGACGACACGCGACTCTGTGACGACACGCGACTCTGTGACGACACGCGTCGCTCTGTGACGACACACGACTCTGTGACGGCACGCAACTCTGTGACGACACACGACTCTGTGACGACACACGACTCTGTGACGGCACGCGTTGCTGTGACGACACACGACTCTGTGACGACACGCGTCGCTCTGTGACGACACACGACTCTGTGACGACACATGACTCTGTGACGACACACGACTCTGTGACGGCACGCGTTGCTGTGACGCGGAAGAGGTAATCGACTTAAACAATTAGGGTTCGTGTGACCCCCCCGCCCTCCCCCATGCACGCAGCTATGCAGTGTAGTGGTTAGCGGGTTGCACTTCGAACCCGGCGACCCGAGTTCGATTCCCGCTCACGGCCAACAGCAGCGACGATTATTTGAATCGGTACCTGGGCCTCCCCCTAGGTCGACTCAGCCTCAAATCAGTTGCTGGTGCGGTGGGTAAACATCGCCACTGGGGAGACAAAGGCGGCTGGGCGTGGTGCTGGCCACCCACCCCCTCATGAGCCGTGCCAGACTTCATAGGTGCTCGCTAACAGCACTTGCCCCAGCAGTCTGTTAAGGCTACACGGGGGAGCTTTGGCTTTGTCTTGCAGCCACTAGAGGCCGCTCTACAATCGGCACCCAAACAACGTTCATGAAGGACTCAATCCTTGAATTAATTCGTGGGAGACGTGCATGAAACGTTGGCATTGTTGATTAACGTTCGTGTTGATTAACGTTCACGTCAAAAAGCCATTTAACTCTATTTTAATTGCATGGCTCTCCGTTTTGAGACCTCCTGTCAGTTGATATGATCAGCAAATGGGTCTCTGGATATGAACGGCTTGTCTTGTCAACATCTCTGATCTGGATGTTCCTTCCATTCCATTTGTGCACTCCAGGCTGTGTATACATTTCACAATAAAGTCCTCTTATGCACTGTTGATATTTCAGGCCTCCACACACCGCGTCGGTCGTGGGGGTTATATTTGACCAAAACTTGGCCAAGGGAAGGTGGGGAGTTCCAGCATCGATTCAGTCACAATAATAATAATAATAATTCCAATGTATAAAGCGCCCTTAAATAATCGTTCTCATCACCTGCCCGTGACATTAGCCGTGGCCGGGAATCAAACTCAGGTCGCTGGCTACCATAGGGCAGTGTGCGGTCCACTTCATCGCAGCTCCACGATCGTTTACTTATCCTCCGTTTTGACTTTATTTTCACATCCATGGTCAATCCACCGCCCTGTGAAGGTCTCGCCACGCAGTTACTATTTTTATTTTACCAGGTAAGGCACACTGGGCTATATAGGTGTTTTTCAGAAGCGACCTGGTCACAAATGATAACTCAACAAAGTGGAAAATTTACAGCAGCCAAATGCTATAAAGGGCACGTTTCTAAATGTCGAGGGGAAAAAACCTGAGAATCCGGAGAAAAATCCACGCGACCACGGGGAAGAGAGAACACGCAAACTCCAAATATGTCAATATCGGGATCGAACCCACGACCTACTGTATACCGAGCGAGGCAATTAACATCTGGTCACCATCCATTACAATCCATCGCATCCCTGAACGTGAGCTGATCTCAGTGCGCAGTCTCCAGTCTCGCTCGGAGGTCACCATCGCACCTCGCTACGTGGGCTCACCAAGCCCACCAAGTCCACCCACCAAACCTTTGTTGGCGGTTCACGCGACGTCTCCATTTTGTGTCGGGTTCCGTTGTACACGCGCGCGGACATGTGTGTGTGCGTGTGTGTTAACCTCCTCCTGTCTCTCGATTTAAGTGTTAAATCTAGATGGAAAACTAATGTATTTTTAGTTTGCTGTCCTTCCCACGCATCTCCGATTCGCACGGTTGGCTACGAAACTGCGCAAAAAAAAGTTCAGCATACATACCTCCGATTAGCAATGCTGGCTACGTACTGTGCGAAAGAAGTTCACCATACATACACATGAGCGTGAATCTCTCCATGTTTCTTTGCGGTATCAAAACAACAACAAAATTGTAACCCAGTAAAGGAGACGTTTCGAGTCCCACCGCACGCTCAACCTGGTTTATTGGCAAAAGTTGACGAATGGAAGAGCCGAGCCCATCGTCTGAGACCGTGGTGCATACAAGGAGGGCATTTGCGGGACGGTGATTTTGGAAACAGCTGAGAAATTTCCACGTGTTTCTCAACCCTGCCGCCATCCATCACCAACTGTCAAGACGACACATGGAAGCTGCCTGCCCACACCCCACCCGGCTAACACCACCAACCCCCCGCCTCCTCCCGCCCCTCATCCCACGACGATGACACGGGGTTGTGGGCTGCAAATTGAGTGACATCGTTGATCTAAATAAATAAATAAACGAAAACAACGAATGAACGAGCGAACAAACGCGTGGCTGAGCGCCCAGGGTTTCCCACACGACATTCCTCCGGTATTCCTGTTGCTGCCGTCCGCCCTGAGCACGGAGGCGTAAAGCGATGTCTGGAGGCCAAGCGCCCCCTGTGACTTGGACATCACACACGTGCCGAGTCAGCGGCGCGCACCACGTGAATGCACAAAAGACAAAGATCATCCGCATAGCCTGTAACAGACTGTTGTGGCAAGTGCTGTTAGCGAGCACCTATGAAGGCCGGCACGGCACACGAGGGGGTGGGTGGCCAACACCACGCCCGGCCGCCTTTGTCTCCCTCGTGGCGATGTATAAACATCGCACCAGGTACTCATTTGCGGCTGAGTCGACCTAGGGGAGGCTCAAGTGCCGGTTCAGATAATCGTCACTGGTGTTGGCCGTGAACGGGAATCGAACCCGGGTGGCCAGGTTCTTAGCGCAGCGCGCTAACCGCTACAACACCGCTCCCCACAAGTAAATACATACAAGCACACACACGCGCGTACGTACATACTCCTGCTATAAGTATGCGTATTGGCACGTATGTATGCACATCTGTACCTCCGATTAGCACGGTTGGCTACGTACCGTGCGAAAGAAGTTCAACATACATACGTATGAAACTGTTGATCATTTAGCTTTTTCAGCTGTAGAGGCGAAGGCTGTTCGCGAGCCCCTGTTATACACATTGTAGGCAGGTGCGATCATCTGCACGCAAATGTTGACACACTACTCACTTCTGGCTGAGCTGATCTAGGGGAATCCAACGCCAGGTTCAGATTACAATCACCATTGCTTGATTGGCATCGTGGCCAGAAGCTGAACGCTGGACAATCAGGTTCGTAGCGCAGACGCAACGGAGGCAACCATGACCACGCATCGGCGAGACCGCCTCAATGTGTTCGACTTCAAAACAGCAATTACGGACAATTGCATTGAGTTCTGTTGGGTCACATTTGCACACTGCATCCTCGCTCTTGCCAAACAGCATTCGTACTGCTTCAGACAAAGCGACTATCAATTGTGAATCCCATGCACGCACACGAAGATCCACCCGTGAATCCCACACAGACTGTCGGGGCGAGTACTGTTAGCGAGCGCCTATTAAGGGCAGCACGGCGCGCGAGACCGCGTGGTGTGGTTCGCACCAAGCCCGCCTCTGCCTTTGTGTCATCGCTCGTATTTTCACCCCGCGTTGGGCAATCATTTACGACTGAGTTAACCTAGGCGAGAACCAGGGCAGGTTAAGATATTGCTCAGCATTGAACCAAGCCAGGGCTGGGGATTGAACTTGGGTGGCAGCTCACAAACCACTATGCCACCAAACACACAAGTACTCAATAACCACCACCAACAACAACTTGTATTTGCCACTAAGTAGTGGCGACGTTACCACGGCAGGTGTGGTGCCAGGCTAGGTGCACTTTGAAGGCACATGAACTGGCCAAGGCTCGCTGGCAGGAGGTCAGAGGACGAACCCAGCTCTTCTGGGTTAATTGGTTAAGGCGACTCAAATATGCACTACCCTCAATTACTAAACATTCATACGTACAAAGTGAGTGTTGCTCGTTACAAAGCAAAAACAAAGATGCCCCGTATGGCCTGTAACAGACAGTTGGGGCAAGTTCTGTTAGTGAGCACCGACGAAGGCCGGCACGGCACGCGAGGGCGTGGGTGGCCAGCACCACTCCCGGCCGCCTTTGTCTCCCTTAGTGACGATGTTTACACATCGAAACCGGGTACTCATTTGAAACTGAGTCGACCTAGGACCGGTTCAGACAATCGTCACACCGGTGTTGGCCGTGAGCGAAAATCGAACCCGGGTCGCAAGGTTCGTA